TATATATTTTGTTGTTTGTGCTGACTAAACTTATGGCCTATTACTACATTAACTGTTTGTGCCTATTTGTATTGTTCCGAGGTAGACTTCCCCTTACCTAGCCTGAGGGGTTTTCAACATACACATTGACTATTGCTTGCATATTTGTTGGGCTAGGTTAGGTTATGTAAGTACAGGCTTCCTTCTTGTACCCCCTCTCGTTATGCCCCTAACCATTCACTGTATCGTTAATAAATAAGAAGTGCAAATTGACTAAGTCAAATGCACATATGTTGAGCCAGAATTGCGATCCACAAACGGAGTTGGTGCTAAAAGTAAAAATTGGGGAGGGCGAATTCGACAAACTCACCCCTAGGTAATCGTAGTAGTCGACCATTTGCTATCACTCCGCATTATTTCGAATCGTGCCATGGCCAGACAGAAATTGTGTCTGGGTAAGCATCCACGGCTCTCTGTGGCGCATGTACGGATGTTCAATAAAATGTCATCGAACAGCCCGCTTTTTAACGCTGGAAATGGGCGAACACATGACAATTGAACCACAGTAATTAATGGTGGATTGAAAATTGCAATGTGAACACGCCGATAACTGGAGTTTGAGGCTAAGGAGCATTTCTGTGAATGCACTTTATGCATAGAAAATACAACTATGAATACGACCATACTTAGAACTTCGCTACGTGAAAGTATTAAGTTATGAGATCGGCTACGTAACACATGAATGTCATGCTTGCATTACGGGCGAGACAAATAATTTGCGATTTTTAGTTAAGAATGTTCAGTTTGATCTAAGAAAACCAAGCTGCAACTTTAGTCAATGTAGATTAGTTGTAGGGCAGTTTTCCTGCTTGTTATCTAAATTACGCAGTATATCGTGCACGGATCACCACCAAGAAGCAGACAATATATGATGTGCTATACTCTGTTATGATATGCACGGGGAAAACGGTCTGAGTAGAGCAGCCATTACACCGTGGAATATAAAATGTACTAAATGTCTTTGATTGGGTTTCGGTATTGATATCAGCCATGAAGGCATGAAAATATCGGTGATCAGGTGTAACAACATGCAACAAGCTCATAAGGACGTGGGTCCAATCGACTTTGATCGGCGCGATCAATAACTTCGAGGAAAGCGGGAAGCCGTTTTCGGGCAATCGGGGGCAACCAGCTGATCGCGAACAGCTGATCGAGCCAACTCGATCAACCGCGTCAAACAGCCCGATCAGACCCGATCAGACACAATCAGCCCGATCACTTGATTGCATGTGATCGGGGACCTGGGCGATGTACGCGAAATGTAACACGCTTCGCCAAGAGGTCTCAAAAATCCTCGCGGTTGTTCGACGGTTCAGGAGCAGACCTGCCACGCGACATTACCCCGATACTTAATTTCGCCAGTCTCGCCAGAGTTTGGATGCAACTTCCAGGTAATAAGCAGACGGTTGCCACGCAAGAGCATCAAATATTCGAGGAAAATGAGCTCTGATCGGGCGGCGCGAGAAAAGCGATCAGAAGCAACCCGATTTAATCCAACCCGATCAGATCCGAGCCGATCAAAGTCGATTGGGCCCACGTCGTAACGTCAAAGATGCGCGGCAGTCTCCATTGCCAAAAACGTTGTTGGTGAATCGGTTTGGGGGGCATCAGCTTTGGGGGGCCTGGGAGGTGGAGATCTCGAAGCAAACCTCGCAAGCTTTCCTTGGCTGATCCTGGTGGACACCGTCGTCCTACTGTACATGTAACGACGAGGCCTCCCACAAACAATCCACCGCAAATGGTGTCGGGCCTGACCCGGTCACCCTGTGTGCCGCACTGTGCTCCGCAGAGCCAGGGCCCTGACGGGCGGCCGGTCACAACAGAAAGAAAAATCTTTTCGGGCCTCATGATGGACACCAGCCGCTGCGTGTTCTCGAATTTATGAGAACCCAACCCGTAATTTTTTCCGTACATTCGTTTTTATCCCTGGGTTTTGAGGTCCAATGTCAACAATGGTCAGCAACGTGGAGCAGTGCGTGATCGTTGATAGAGGGCTGAGTTCTAGCGTGCCTCGAGGATGCTGAGAAATTCCAGAAGATGCCGCTCTACATTACAAGACAGTACAGTACAGTAACCCAGACCTTTCGAGTGCCCAGCCCACCCGGTGCCCAGCCCATGCCCAGGGGGAATTTCAATTGGTGCACTACGTTGCGTCCTTCCTTCCTTGTTCGGACAATTCGAACCTTGATCTCATTTAGGGAGTGCGGGTTTGCAAATGTAATCTTTTTCGGGCAGAACCATGCGGCTGCCCGTGTTTAGGGTTGGGGCTCCCCGTGTTTAGGGTTGGGGCTCCCCTAATCGCATGCCATCCAGATGGGGTTTATTTTTTTTCTACCGCGGGCAGATTACGACCTATCAGCTGCTTCCAGGCGGACTGTTAGGGATCGCATTTGCGAACCGCGCTGGCCTAATTGGATTGCAGCTGATGTTGTCCCTTCCTTGTTCGTATACACTGTACACCCTTCCCACCCTTCGCTTGACAAATCGCACTCTGCTGCGCTGGATCTGTCAACGCAAGTGTACGGTGTGAAGGATGCGGTGGCCCACAGTACCAGTGTTGCCATCCCAGCTGTAATCATTCAACAGAGGTGCTGCGTCACTCTGTTTGTGTGTGTAGGGTTGGCGTGTGTGTGTGTGTGTGCGATCAAGGAACAACAGACTTGGCCAAGCCTGAGGCTAGCATGAGGAAGACTCGTGGTGGTCCATCCATGAATTACCAACTCTTCTTCCTCCTCCATATCCTTCGTTCTGTACATCCTGACCGCGCATTACAGCACAGTACCGCAATTGTCAGCCTTCACCTGAGGGGACGCAGTTGAGCGGGAAGTCAGGACATGGTCATGGATGCTCGGCTTCGAGCTTCTCAAGAGCTCGCTCCAGGATCTCAATCTCTCGCTACCTCCTCACGACTCGACGCTGCCGTTTCCTCTGGTCTGTTCGTTTAGCCTCGCCCCATGCTCTCCGTACGCAACCCCCCAGCCCTCCCTGACAATTCGGCTCGTCGAAGTGTTGGCACTTTGCCCGTTTGCTTTCCATAGCGCTTAGTGCCTCTAAGGTAACGCGTCGATCATCATCACCATCATCGTCATAGTTAGAGAGCTCAATACGCCGTTGCTCCCCTCGCCTCCCTGCCGCCTCCTCGCGTCTCGGCCTCCGAGTCTTTAAATCGCCTCTACCTAGTACTATTATGCGGCTGTCGTTTCCCTAAGTTCACCCGACATGAGCCCACCGGAGAAGCGCGTGCGTTGCGCGCAGCCAGATTCGGGGTTGCCGCCATCGCAGCTGCTCCTCCTCCCCACGTCCGTGCAATGGCGAATCCTGGACCTCCTAGACGCGCGGTCGCTTGTTTGCCTGTCGGGCTCGTGCCGCGAGTTACGGACCGCCGTCTCCGCGTCCGCTGATCCGCAAGCCGCGCTTCGATGGCGCCGGTAATACATTTTCGAATTAACCTAATTCCGTCTGTGCCCACTCGTGTCTCTAACCCCATGACGCACGAGGTCGATTCGTACTGAGGCCTTTCGACGCGAACACTGCTACTATTCTTAACCCAGAAGCTTGACCTAATTCTGGCAGCACCCTTACGCGGAGTCATCACCTAAAAGGTGCCATCCCATTGTATCCCTCCTCTTCCCCTCTTTCCCCGCCTGTCCCACTCGCAGCCTATGCCAGGCAAAGCTTGGTCCATGCCTCGGCGCGCTGCATGAGGCGTTCGCGCGCCACCAGATGCGCCAGCGCCTGAAGTCCGCGCGGATCTCTCCGCTCCCCCCCGCCGACCATCCGCGGCTGAAGCCCGAGCAAACCCATTTGGCGCTTAAGCATGGCGACAATCCGCATTCTCACGGCGAAAATCAGAATCAGCTCGAGCACGCGGCGGGGCCGCCGGCTCAACAGGGTCAGTGGCTGCAGCAGCCGCAGTCACAGCAGCAGCAGCAAGAGCAGCAGCAAGAGCATCAGCAGGAGCAGGAGGAGCGAGTGAGCAGCAGCGACAGCGGCTGGCAAATGGCATGGCACTGGAGTTGGGAACCACCCCCGCAACTTCCTGACCCCGCCACTCTCCCCACTTGTGACCCCGCGCGCACCAGAGGATCCCCGCGTGGGCCCGTGGGGCCGCGGTTCAGGCGGAAATCGGCGGGGCTGCGGTCGCGGTCGGGGGAGCTGTCGTTTCCGCCGTTGGGGGCGGCAGCGGTGGCGGACGGGTACGGCGAGACGTGGTTCTGGCAGCGGCTGTTCGGCGCTGCCGTGCGCCCGCGCGACGTGCAGTGGTGGCCGGAAGGGGGGAACGCATTGCGCCAGAGGTAGGTTTGGCGCGGCGGGTGGGAGAGAGGTGGTTCATTTCGCAGTGCGGATGGTTGTATTGTATCAAGGGAAGGATGTTGGGAAAACGCGGAAGGCGGACTGCGGAAGGGGGAAACGCGGAAAGTGGGGGACGCGGATGGATTGTCCGCGAGCAGTGAGCCGCCGCACGTCCCGGCCTTTGTGCCCCGCGGAAGTATTCTTAGCACATTCCCAGTCGCTCGCCAACTTTACCTCCCCATTCCGCTTCATTTCCGCCTCTCCTCTCTCCTCCCCTTCCCCCTTTGGTTCCTCTTTCCCCCGCCTCCCTATTCCCTCTCCGCTCCCCTCCGTTCCCAGCCTCATATCGTCGTGGCGCGCGGAGCGCGCTACAGCGGGAGGCGCAGTCCCCTCCGCGGAACTACAGACGGCACAGCTGCTGCCGCTGTGTCGGCAGGCGGACATGGGCATGCGCGAAGGCGTGGGCGGGGGCGCGGGCGCGGGGAACGGGGAGGGGCGCGGGGGAGATGCGGAATGGCCAGCATATGACGAGTCAGCGGCGGCTGCGCTGGAGATGCTCGAGCGCACAGGGCACTCCGCCACGCAGGTAGAGCTGGCCTGGCCTTTATGGGCAGAGGCGGATGGAGGGGGAGGGTTTGGAAGGCGTGGGGTTCGTTCGTGGGATGGGGATGGAGGCTAAGCTATGTTGGGGAATGGGGGAAGGGCGGAAGGGCGAAGTGGAAAAGGAGCAGGATGAAGGCCCATCTGTAATGTCGTTGTTTCTGTCGCGTCGTGCTTGCGCCGCGCCGCACATCTTCATTGCTTGAGATTTCCTAGTCTGACGCCATCCGACGTGACCCTTAGGTGCAGCACCACCAACCCGTGGCCTTTCCATCTCTGGCTCTCTGAACACGCATCTTCCACATCTTCCACTTTTGCTTAAACGCGCCGCTCCTTGTGTGCGACATTGATGGGAATGGATTATGGAATGGAATGGAATGGAATGAATGCAGGTGGGCGAGCTGCTGGTGGTGATCGGGGGGTTGAGCCGGCAGGGACAGGCGACAATAGACGTGCTGGTGTTCCACCTCGCCTCGCTCGCTGCGTGGCGCCCTGCCGTGCACACATGGGCGGGAGACGCGCTGCCCCGCCGCCGCTTCCGCCACACCGTTGCGCTCATCCACCCGCCTGCTGCGCTCCGAGCAGGGGGGTTTGCAAGGGAGCACGACCCGATTCTGTTCATGTTCGGCGGATATGATTTGGAGGTGCGAGCGTGCAGGAGGGTGGGTGGGTGGGTGGGTTGGTGGTGGTTTGTAGGTGTGTGGGTGTGTGTGTGCGAGCATTGCTCTCGCGCTCTCACTGCTTGCGTTCCATGCCCGCCCCTTTAAGCCGTTCCTTCCTTAGTCCCTGATGTGCTGCATCTGCATGCATGGATGCATGTGTGCTGTGCGTGCGTGCAGGGCAACGTGCATGGCATGGAGGAGGCCTTCTTCCTCTGCCTCTCTGATGCATCTTGAGTCGCTTCTGAGAATTTTCAAAACCGTCTGTCCCTCATGTGCTGTATGCATGCGTGCGTGTGTGCTGTGCTGTGCTGCGTGCAGGGCAACGTGCATGGCATGGAGGAGGCCTTCTTCCTCTGCCTCTCCGATGCAGGAGCCACTGCCACGTGGCGCCGTGCGCACACCAGAGGCACCGTGCCCTCTGCACGCTTCCACCACGCCATGGCTGCCTATGAAAACGGATCTAAAGTGCTCGTCTATGGGTGCGTTGTCGTCCCGTCCCTTCCCGTTCCCTCCCGTCCCATCCCGTCCAATCCCATCCCATCCCATCCCATCCCATCCCATCCCATCCCATCCCATCCCATCCCATCCCATCCCATCCCATCCCATCCCATCCCATCCCATCCCATCCCATCCCATCCCATCCCATCCCATCCCATCCCATCCCATCCCGTCCCATCCCATCCCATCCCATCCCATCCCATCCCATCCCATCCCGTCCCATCCCATCCCATCCATCCAACCCGTACTGAGATGGCGTTTGTTTCGTTGACCCAAAATCTTTCCTTCCCCATACTTGCACTCCTTTCCTCTCGCCCTCTGCAGTGGTTTACCTCTCCCCCTTGCGTTGTCCCTCCTCTCGCCCTCTCTGAAAACCCTTCAGATTCCCAGAGCACCCGTCCGTCCTCCTTCCTTCCTCTCTCCTCCCTCCCACCCTCCTGCACTCCCCCCCTCCTCTCTCCTCCCTCCTCCCTCCTTCCCGTTCTCCTATCCCCCCTGCATGTCATGCTTTTCTTTCCCTGAAAACTGCGCTCACGGCTGTGCATACGCGTGCGTGCATGCAGAGGCGAAGGGCTGGCGGTTAATGACTGGGACGTGGTGGAAGGAGCGCGACAGGAGGGCATGCTTTCACAAGGGGGAGGTGGGAGAGAGCAGGCAGAGCAGGACGAGCGGAGGGCAGAGGGCGAGAGGGCAGAGGGCGAGAGGGGAGGCAGGGCGAGAAGAGGCAGGCGGAGGGTAGAAGGAGAAGGGGAGGGAGAAGGGGAAGGGGAGGGGGAAGGAGAGGAAGAGGGAGGAGAAGGTGACGTGCATGGAGAACGACGGCAACGACTACGGCTGCAGCCGCAGCAGGGGCAGCAAGTCGAGCAGCAGCAGCAACAAAGACAATCTGAAGCGTGGCGGCAGCACGAGCAGCAGCAGCAGCACCAGGTCCAGCTAGACGAGCAAAATCACAGTGGCAGGGGTGATGAGGGCGAGGGGCGGCAGGCAGGGGGGCAAGAGTGCGGGCTGCAGCATTGTGTTGCGCAGCAGTGCACATTGGATGAGAGACGGCGAGACCAAGCCTGTGCGAGGGGTCAGGGCAGAGTAAACCAAGAAGATGGTTACGAGAGCAGTGAGGGGAGGAATAAGCGGAGGAGTGAGGTTGAGGACGAGGGGGTGAGTGGGTGGGGGAGTGAGAGTAGGTGTAGGAGCGAGTGTGAGGATGAGGAGACCAGGTGTGGTGGTGCTGTCACATGCTCTGAAACACCCAGCAACAGCGGTAGCAGCGGCGGCAGCTGCAATAGCAGCAACAGCAGCAGAAGCAGCAACAGCAGCAGAAGTGACCGTGGAGAGAGTACTGGTCGCTGCAACAATGGTGCCTTGAGTGTGGCTGGAGCAGACAAGGGTGGGGTTGCGTCAAGTGGTGGCAGTGGCAGTGGCAGTGGCAGGGGCAGGGGCAGGGGCAGTGGGAGGGAGAGCGGGTGTGGGTGTGGGTGTTGCGAGCAGTCACCAGTGGCATGGGAGAGAGTGTGGAACAGCGTGGGTGGTGGGCACGGCAATGGGAGGGCAAGGAGGCCAGGCGGCGAGGAGGGGCATGGGGAGGGTGGGCATGGGGAGGGCGGGCAAGGGGGAGGCGGGCGTGGGGAGGGTGGGCGTGCGCTGGTGGTGTATGTGTTGGATGTGAGCAGCTTGACATGGTCGCGCGTGCCCACGCATGGAGTGTGCCCCGGCGTGCGCATCCTGCACTTCGCCACCACCTACAAGTGAGTCTCTCGTCGCTCTGCGCTGCGCTGCTCTCGTCACACTCTTTATTCAACACACTCTGTACGGCGTTGCGCTGCACTGCCGCAGCACTGCACAGCACCACCCTGCAGCAGCACCACAGTGTGGTACAGTTTTTGCGTCTCCTGTGGGAAGTTCTGCAGTGAAGTTCTTCTCTGGAGACCAGCCTCCTCTGCAGCTGCGCTTCTCATTTTATGTCTCCCGGCTCGCTTCGCTTGGAATCTGTTCATTCCAGCTCACTCTCGTTTCCCTCCCTGGGTGCTCTTCTTTTGTGCAGCTGTGGTGCTTCGGGTACTGAGCACATGGTCATCTTTGGCGGGTACAGGGACGACAGCACCAACCTCGAGACCATGCAGGTGCTGCCTGCCTCCCCTTCCCTCCCCTTCCCTCCCCTTCCCTCCCCTTCCCTCCCCTTCCCTCCCCTTCCCTCCCCTTCCCTCCCCTTCCCTCCCCTTCCCTCCCCTTCCCTCCCCTTCCCTCCCCTTCCCTCCCCTTCCCTCCCCTTCCCTCCCCTTCCCTCCCCTTCCCTCCCCTTCCCTCCCCTTCCCTCCCCTTCCTTCCCCTTCCCTCCCCTTCCCTCCCCTTCCCTTCCCTCACCTGCACTCGCACTCCGCCCCTCTTCTCTCTCTCCCCTTTTCGAAAATTTCAACTCCTCGCTCCGCAGATTTGCAGTATCCGGCTCGCTCTCAGTAGTTCGCAGTCTCTGTCCTCCTTTCACCTCCTCAGACCACCTCGCCCAGCTTTGCTTCTCTTCGCTTTCTCGCCTCCCGCCCGTCGTTCCCAGCCCTATGTCCGCAGCGTCGCCTCCAAAGGCCGTTTTGTTGATGCTACAGTCAATTATACAAGCACCTCCCCTCTGGTTCCCCTGTTGTCCCCGTCCCCTTACTCCCCGTCCCCCCGCCATCCCTGTCCCCCCATGCCCTCTCTCCCCGCCAGCCATATGCCCTAAACCTTGCCTCTATGGAGTGGCGTCGTGCCCGCTCCTCCTCCGCCATGCCCGCCCATCTCCCTGAGTCGCTCCGTGCCCCCGCATACCAGCCTGTCGCTCGCAACCGCAGCGGCCTTACCAAGGTACATACCCGGTTGGCCGTCGCTGCGGCCACCGTCGGTTTGCTTGCGCTCTCGTTGTTGCCGCTGTATGTTATTTTGCGCTCGTGGTGCTCCCACGCATGCCAGCAATCAAGCTTGTGACCAAGCAAGCACGCCACGCCATGCGTGTCTCGCTCATTTTCCTGCAATCCAGTGTAATCTCAGCTGCCACGCTCCCCAACACTCCACTCAGTCCAACTCGAAGTTCTGCCAGCGCCACTCTTCACACTTTCCTACCTCTTTCTGTTTCCTGCTGCGCCCACTGCCGTGCCATACCGCGCTTCATGCGTGTGTGCATACGTGCAGATAGGCAACGACACATTGCTGCTGACAGAGGGCACCATCTATGACACCCGCAGCTACCTCCGCGATGTGCATGCCCTGCACTTGCCCTCCCTCTCTTGGTGCGTGCCTGCCTGGCTGCCTGCATGCATGTGTGCGTGCAGCCGTGCATTCTTTTCCCTCGCTCTTGAGCCCACCCTGTGCCTCTTTCTCACTCTCCCGTCGCTCTCACTCTAGATCCCTTCTCCCCCAGTTTCCCCACCCCCCCCCCCCCCCTTTCCCTCCCTCCTCTCGTCATCACCGCACTTGGCTATCAAGCGAAACGCACGCAAAGCACCATGAGCCGCGCTGATTTCGCGCCCATGCCCCTCCCACCGTGTCTCTGCTCTGCTGTGTGTGTGTGTGGCATGGCAGGTCGCCTGTGAGGGCACATGGGCAGCCAACAGCCGGCCCCAGTGGAGGCCTCTCAGCAGAAGGGCTCATCGCCTATGGAGGCTGCGTTCTGGGTGAGTTCTTCCTTAGCCTGTCTGTCTGGCAGCAGTGTGCTGTGCGTGGCTAGTGGCTATTCCCAGGCAGCTTTGTTCCGGGTAAGTGACTAGTGACTACCCTCCCGTCCGCTCACTCACACCCTTATCCCCCTAACCTCTCGTCCCTCCCTTCACCATCTCCTCTCGCTCCGCACGTTGGGCATTCGCCATTGGTCTCCGGCTCGTGGGGCGCACTGTCTTGTTCCTCAAAAGTTCCCTCTCCCCACCCCTCCCCCCGCCACCTCGCCTATCACATCACAGGCACTTTGGGCATACAACCAGTGGCGAGGGTGGATCCAACGGTCATCGGCTCATGGAATGACCTCTCACCACGTGTGTTCTGAGTTGACTCAAAACAACACCATTCCCCCTCCTTTCCTCCTCACCACCAGGCACGCTGGGCATTCAGCCAGTGGCGAGGGTGGATCCAATGGTCATCGGCTCATGGGGTGCACTGTCCCCACCGCAGCCCCAGCCTCCCCCAGCACGCACCTGCTGCCGGCCCTGGCTTCGCCTCTCTGCCGGCCTCTCTCTACTGCCGCTTCAGCCCATTGAACTTGTCTATTCCCCGCCCAACGCTGCTGCTGACGCTGGTGCTGCTGATGCTGCTGATGCTGATGCTGCTGATTCCGATGGAGAAATTTACCACCGCGCATGGCGCAGGAGGGGCTTGCAAAGGGGGTTCGCCTCGCAGGAGTGATTCGCCTGGCAGCCCCAGTGAGGAGGAGGAGGACTGTTCTGCACCTGCGGTAGGCCGAGGTGGGCAGGCCGTGCGGTGTGTGGGCGTGTGGGCAATGTGTGTGTGTGTGTGTCTGTGTGTGTGTGTGTGTGTGTGTGCGCGCGCACCGTTCTAAATCCTCAGGTGCTCTTCCTCCTTCCTCCTTCCTGCTCCGCTCTCCCTTGTGCTTGATTCCAGTCACCCTTGTGCCATCAGCTGTAGACGATCTCTCCATGTGGACTCTTCGCTGTGGCGACTCACCAGCAGCAGCAGCAGTAACAGCAACAGCAACAGCAGGGGCAGTACCAGCCGCAACGGTACCAACAACAGCAGCAACAGCAGCAGCAGCTGCAGATGCTTCTGTGCTATTCCACGCAAGTGCTCCGGCGGAGCAGGATCATGCCCACATACCGTCGCCCTTGTGCCACACTGCATTCCGCCTCCCACATCTCAATACCACCCTCCTGCCCTCCTCGTCCCTGCTTCCCCTGCACATGTCACCCGCATCATCCCCTTCTGCAACCCCACCTGCTGCTCTCTCTATTGACGCTGCACCCGCGCATGCTCCTGCTGGTGCTGCTGCTGCTGATGCTGTCCCTTCTTCGTCTCCTCCTTGCCCTTTGTTTGCCAAAACGTCTGCCAGTCAACCACCAGTCGCATCAACAGCGGCGGCGGTGGCTTCAGCAGCAGCTGCACTTGATCCTTTGGAGCTGCTGCTTCCGACCCCTGCCTCTGCTCACGCACACATATCTCAAAACATATATCTGCCTGTTACGGTGGCTCGACGCTCCCCTCCTCTCCTTACACTTTCGGAGTGCAGAGAAGGGGAAGGAAGTGACGGGAGGCCAGGAGGAGGAAGAGGAGGCGGAATAGGAGCGGGATCGAGTCTTTTGTTGGGAGCACCTGGGGAAGAGGGAGCAGAGGCGAGTGCTTGCGCTGCTACGACCAGCTGTGTTGCTGCAGCAGCAGCGGCGGTGGGAGATGTGGCGTCGGCAGCAGAAGCAGCAGAGGCAGCGGCGCAGGCGGTGGCAGCGGTGGCGGCTGCGTGTGTGAACATTGCGCTCATGGTGCGGGATGTGCGGCAGTCTCTCATCATGCGCAGGGGAGGGGTGGGGGAGGAGGAGAGTGATGTTGCCGGTAAGCATCTGTAGCAGTGGCACCAGGAGGAGGTTGGTACAGAGGGGAGGGGAGTGTGGTTGTGTGTTTAGGCGGGTGTGCGTGGATGTTGCGTGTGGCGTGGTTGGTGGGTATGTCGTATGGAGTTGTCTTGGTTGATGTGTGTGTGTGTGTGCTTTCGTGCATGCTTTTTCATGTTTGTAGGGTACCGTAGTTCTACTATCAAGTATGACTATGTTATGGCATCAAATCAACATTATACCGTATCGCCCCGGATATAGGCGCCGTCTCATTAAGGGCGCCGGCGCTTCTATCTGGAGCATGGCGCTTATGGCCGGAACTCGATTATAAGCGCACCCCCTGAGATTTCTTTACTTATTAAAGGGCATCCCTTAACGTTACATTGGAGGCGATACAACCGATTTCACTAAACTGCATCTATTTCATAGCAACTACAACATCATGTTGCTAACCTACAACTAGTCTAGCCGGGGTGCTTCTAACTAACATGCATCAGCCAGCACCCCTCCTACTCCTCGTCGTCGTCAGATTCGGGCTCCTGGCAGTTGTTGCCAAAAAAACCATCAGCGATGATGTCATCGTCGACATCCACCTCCGCTGTCAGCTGGGTCCGCCTGTGCGCCATGGCGAGGTTGTCCTCGCTGCCGTCGAGCGCGTTGCTGATGCCACAGGTGAGGAAGGCGCGCGTGATGAGGTCGGACGGCACTGCCCGCCAGGCCTGAGATATCCACCGCAGGACGACCTCAGGTGGAGGCTTCTTCAGATTACCTGAGACATCAGTAACAGGAGAACGGTGGAAAGCCGTTAGTGCATAAAAACATTTCGGGGGGGGGGAAGGGGTAGAACGAAACCGTACACATGCCTTACCTGCCGCGGTCAGCTGCTCTTGCCCCTCTGACTCGAACCAACTCTGGTACTGCTGGCGGACCGACGCCTTGAAACTCTTGTTGATGGAGACATCGAGCGGCTGTACCTCCGCCGTACAGCCCGACGGGATGACAGCCGGCACGCAGTTCATCTCGCGGAGCTTCTCCTTGACCTCCTCGGTGAGGTGACCGCGGTAAGAGTCCAGCACCAGCATCGAGCTCTTCGCGTGTCTGCCGAACCGCGGCTTCAAGAAGGGCTTGACGCCCTCCTCCAGCCAGCGCACGACGCCCGCGGAGTCCATCCATCCGTTCTCGTGGCAAGCCACGACCACATCTGCACGAAACAAGAGCATGTGGTTAGAACACGCACTCAGAACAGAACGCAAATGACCAGGAGTGCACGTGTGTACGTACCGGCAGGAAAATCGCCCTTCGGCAATGTTTTGCGCTTGAAGAACACCCACGGCTTGAGCTTCCTTCCGTCCGCCGTGCACGCCAGCATCACGGTCACTCGCTGCTTCTGATACCCCGCGCTCCTGATGTTCACCGAGCGAGCACCCGTTTCCTCGACGGTGGTGGTGGCGGGCATCTCCAGCCATAGCGGCGTCTGATCCGCGTTGATGATCCACGCGGTGTCGATGCCGCGCTCGCGACGCTTGTCACGCACGAACTGCCAGAACATGCGGCAGAGCTCAGCGACACCTGCACGGCGGGAGAAGAGACGACGGACACAGACGGGGGGGTTAGTACACATGTTCAGAAACTACGTCGCAAGGAAACCGGACAATTTCTTACGCTCGGCGGTTTTCTGGGCAACCCGGGTCTTCATGCGGACGCTCAGATTCCAACGACGCCGAAAGCGCGCCGACCACCTCTGGCTTCCTTTCCACTTCTTGTCCGGGTACAGCAGCCTCATGAACTCCCGCGACCACTCCTGCAGGCGGCCGACTGACACGGCAGAACCCTTGCGGCGCCACTCGAGCAGCTTCTCGTACACCTTCAACTCCATCGGCCGGTACCACGACGACCGCCCGCGGCCGTGCATTCGCTTCCGGGCGGAGTGGACTTTCCTTGAGGAAATCCGCCGCTTTCTTCCAGTTGGCGAGGCACTTGCGGTGGATTCCGCTCTCGCGAGCCAAGGCGCGCACCGACACCGACCCATCGAGGCGACTTGCCCACTTCAACTTCTCCGCGGCGGTGTAACCTTGCCGCTTGTGCTCGGTGAGCTTGTGCCTGGGAGAGGGGGGGCGGGCATCACGGTTCTCAGAAGAGGGGTGGGGTCGCTTGCGATTAGTCGGAGGATACGTTGGTATGGGCAGTTTCTCAGGTAGCCCGTCGCGTGACCAATACTCCACGCCGTCGTCGTCACCGTCGCCCGAGAAACCTTCTGGAAACACATCCTCAGCGGTGCCGCCCTCGGCGCCTCCCTCGGCACCACCCTCGGCGGAAGCCTCTGTGTCACCTTCGGCGCCGTTTTCGCCGCTCGCATCCTCAGCGGTAGCGACATCATCGTCGACGCCGATTGCAGATTCGTCCCAAGGGCAATCTTCGGGCTGTCCCCAACGTCCTCCAGGCACGTGGTTGACTCGGACGTACACATCCGGCCCGTTGTTGTTCTCCGGTTCGGACAGGAATTCGTCAAACGCCGACGCGGGCAGCAGCGTGAGCACAGGCTGATTGGCAGTGGGTTGCGGTGACACATGAACCAGAGGCGAAGGAGGAACAGGAGGCGCAGGAGGCGAAGGAGGCGAAGGAGGAAGAGGAGGCGAAGGAGGTGCAGGAGGTGCAGGAGGCACAGGAGGCGCAGGAGGCTATGGTGGCTCTGGAGGTTCTGGCGGGAGACGGGTGCACCACCCGTCAGCGTCTACTGTAAACGCGGGCCTTCGAGCAGGTTTTTTCTTGAACAAGAAGTGGGTGCCGCTGAATTCCGCCATGGCTTCCGCAGCCAGGCGGGAGTGACCAAGAAACGGATGAAGAAAGTGAGAGAAATGGTGCACAAATGAGCGATTCAAAGGGACCCCTGCTGGTTTGCGCCTCGGCTCTCCTCGTCGGGTCGAGACGGGTACCCCCTGTCTGAACCCGGAGAGGAGGGTATCGTGGCACGAACATGATGCGCTGGCAGGTCATTCCACCGCCTTCTCGATGGTTCGGGTGAAATGCAGCTGCCTGTCACTGCATGGTACCCTGATTGGGCCGCATGGCAACATTCACGTCAGCGCTGGCAGATTCCCTGCTCCTGGACGTGGTCTGTGCGGTCGGGAATCGAATCGCGGTGGGATTCGGCGGGATTTCATGCATTTCCTCCAGCGCACGTTACACAATTGTGTTCGCCTTACTGCGGGCTTCGATTTGGTACCCTAAAATAACAAAAACACTTTTTACCATGATATAAGCGCCGGCGCTTATGGCCGTGACTCAATTACAAGCGCCCCCCCCTAAAAAAACCGGTTTTATTATAAGCGCAGATGTGCCTATATCCGCGGTGATACGGTATTTTTGGCGATTTCAAGTTCAAGAATTTTGAACTTGAAAACTGCCACACTGAACTGAACTGTGGAATTCCATACAATAGAGGGAAAGAATAAGTATGCATGTTTGCCCATTTTTTGAAGTCAAATCAAATCAATCTGATACGGTGGTACGTCACACTGGGCCATTACAGGTGTGGCATACGGTATGGTACTGTGGTGACAACGGTGGGGGGTTATTGATAAAACTGATGTCAACAATGATAGTTACCACCATACAATACAACCCGTACCGGTACCACTGCTAAAGAATACCTATGTGCTAGCTTCATGTAAGTGCATACAAGTACCACACCACCAAGGCAACATGCTACGCCAGCAGCAGTAGTTAGCATCTGTATAGCACATGATATGACATAGTATGGCATGACAAGGCAGATCGCAGGGAACAAGACAACGCATGCACATGGGCGGAGGTTCGAGCAGCAAGCCGCGCCTATGGCGGTTGAGCCTGCTGCTGTCATGATGCCATGTGCTGCCGTCATCATTGCCATGAGATCCCACCATGCCACGTCACACCATCATCACACCATGACACATCACACAATGTCAGAGCATGTCACACACACCATGGTGCGCCTCAGATTGGTTAGGCGTGTGTTACTGTTACTTGATGGCAACATCATTGTCCTCTTCCAGTGGCGGCACTACCTTACCGCGCTTAAAACCCAAAGATTGCACAAGCTTTTCTATCTGCAGGGAGCCAAAGCAAGCAGGCAAGATGGGAATAAAGGTAGTGTGCGAGAAAGGGGGTGCCAAAAAAGCGGAATAAGAACAAGCTCGTGCGGAATAAGCCACCCGCGTGGCACGTCAAGCGCGCGGCAGGTGGCACATGGCAGATGGCAGGGGGCAGGGCAGGCGCATGGGTGGCAGTGATCACCTCATCAAACGTTTTGGGCGAGACATCGTAGCGAGCCACCTCCCTGTCGGCCGAGTCGAAGAGCACCAAATCCGGCACCTTGCCGTGTATGTAGCTGTGACACACACGCACTCGCATGCACACACGCACACACGCACACATGCACACGCACACACGCACACAAACACGCACGTGGCGGGGTGCATACGTGGGGTTTGTGGGAGGAAATGGCGTTGGAAGGAAAGGGAGTCGGAATAAGTGGGGTTGGGGAGAGAGAAGCAGAAATCTGGTTGTAGAATAGGGGTGACACTTGGGGATCAGTAGACAGGTGGCACCATACGTGGCATTGCGGCTGCGTGGAGCTGCCTTGGGGTGAGGTGAAGGGATCATGTTAGTTTCGAAAATCACTGCAGCGCATGTGGGGAGCGCTGTCATGCCTGCAGCCATGCCGGGTGCTATTCGGGCGTTGTCATGCGAGTCTGCACAACTGGACTCATACTATGCAACACAATTCTTCCTACCGCTAGCCACTTTTCTCTCCCCTTGCTGCACACGATTCATCTCACTGCCCACTTTAAAGACTGGCATAACGGCTCCAATGTGTTTGTTCCTCCCTTCACACTGGCGCGACTGTCAACCGCCCACTTAACCCCGCATGCAACTGATAGGACAATCACGAGACGACTACCTTGATTACTCTCCCCTTCCCCTTCTCCAACCTTCCCCCCTCCTCACCCCCCCTCTCCCCCCCTTCCAAGGGCTCACTTGATGGTCAGCGACTCGTACGCGTTGGCCTCCACACGCTCCTGTGCCCATGTGGGGCGGGTACGCGGGACAGGGTAAGGGTGAGAGGAGAGGGGCGTCAGAGGAAGGAGGAGAGTGGGCGGAGTAAGGGAGGGAGGGAGTGAGGGAGGGAGGGAGGGAGGGAGGGAGGGAGGGAGGGAGGGAGGGAGGGAGGGAGGGAGGGAGGGAGGGAGGGAGGGAGGGAGGAGGGAGGACGGACGGAAGGAGGAAGGGAAGGATGGACGGACGGAAATAGAGAGGGAGGTGGCAGGAGAGCAGGAGAGAGAATGAGCTGACAGGTGCACAAGTGCGGGACTTCTAGGGCTTCCAGAGATCCTAGGGATTCTAACTGGACAACCAGCCACCCGGAAGGGCGGCTCAAAGACACGAGCATGTGAGAAGCGGAGTGGGAGAACGAAGCAGGCGCGCGAGCAGCACGGGGGCGCGCGAGCAGAGGAGCGGAGCAAAGACGGCGCGCGCGCAGAGCAGCGGGGCGGGGCACACCTCGAAGAAGCGGCGGACCTCCGGGAGGCGGTTGAGCTGTCATCCGCTGCAGGACTGCGCGGGGGGGGGGGGGGGGCGGGAACACGGTACGGGGGAGGGGCGAACGGCAGAGGCTGATGATTAACGGGGATCCGAGAGGAAAGAGAGGACGGAGGAAGCGTGTTCGCTGAGTATGTGTACGGCGCGCGGAACATTCGCGCGGAAAGTGGACGCCGCGCAGGTAGCTTTCATAATACCTGCTCCTTCCGCGGGACGTTCCAAGGCCCCTTTTGAAGTTCCGTCAGAGTCAAGCAGAGCCAAGCATCGCCTCGGAACGACCAGAGCTATACGTTACGCACGAGGCAGGTCGCTCCGAGTAAACGGTGCTGCTGCTTCGCAGTAGACCGTTCAGCGGACAACAAGCATAGGGATTTGATTCTGTTTCCTCTGCGGTCTCACCTGGAACTCGCCGCGCGCGAAAGACGGAGTGCTCTTGAAGGAAGTCGTCGCGCGACGCACGGAAGGGAGCAGCAGCAGGAGCACGACGGACACCACCACCACGCCGCACAGGGAACGACGCAGCCCCGCTGACGGCGCCATAAGCGGCGCCCACCGTTAGGCGGAGTGCCTGGCCGTCAGAATCGCGTCGTTGGCGTTAGGTGACGTTATGGCGAGGTGAAAGAACGCTCGCGGAACCCGCAATAGAAAGACGAATGGAAGGAAACTCGAGAGGTGACGATGAGATGTGTCGGTGGGTTGGGAGGTGAGGGGTTCGAATTGCATGGTGCAGATCGATTCGGATCAGAACAGCCAGGATTTGACTAGTCTCACGAATTCGGGTGGCATAGCGTGTTCAAAGACACGGCTTGCATAACTTGCTCCAGAGCGGTCGCGGATGGCATGCCATGCAGATGGGTTTTAGTTTTTTTCTTGCCCGCGGTCAGCTTGCTGACTCGATTGCACTGCCTGCTTACGCAGGCAGTGCAATATATTTTTCCAAAGGCTAGGTACCGATCGCAACAGCAGCGCGTAACTGAAAGTGAGTGTCACGAAGTTTAGCCGCGATGTCACGAAGATCAAGATCAGGTGCTTACGACTCGCTTCCGCTAGGGCCCTTGGGGGGCGTACCCATCAAGGAGCAGAAACGTTGAAACAAGGAGAAAGCATTTCAGAAATGTGAATAGAAACAAGAAAAATATATCTTTGAAATGGTTCAAGAACTTTCTGGCAGTTTACAATCCAAGATTGCACCTGGTGCTCTAAACTCCGCAGCTTTAGCTGCTCACACGACTTACACACAACTAAGCAATTCAGCCATCAGCAACCACCCGAGTGGTTGCAACAAGTAACCCTAAAACTATATGGCTGTTCATGCTCCGAGAAGGACAAGGTGCATGTTTTACATGCTAAACATGATGTTGAGGTCAGGATACAGGGGAGAAGCTGCAGACAGCTTCAGGTGCTGCAGAGCGGACCCTGCTGCACCTGCAGCCACGACTACTGCTGTAATATGAAGCACGGGAAGTGTGCTCCATGAGCAACAAACAAATCCCGATGCACAGCAGCAGCTGCACGGTAAGGTATACGGTAGTGGGACTCTACCAGGCAGTCCAGCGGTCCATCCATCCACCTGGAGTAAAAAAAAACAAAGAAAGCAGGGGGGGAAAAAACAACAAAATGTGAAGTTGGGGCAGTAGGCTATGGTGATCGAGAAAGTGATGGTGTAGAAAACAGAGGCAGAAAATACAGCTATTCAATGGTTAAAAATAGGCCCAGGTTTCAACATGAACCTTGAGGATCGAGGATTGCGCAGAAGCAAGTGTGTGGAGCCACACAATCAAGACAGCTGACACACGGACCCAGAGAGGCAAAGCAACACCAAGCTAAATCAAGCCCAGTAAGGCAATCAGCACAGAGCAGGATAGGAGAGGAGAGAAGGAGAGAGGGAGAGGATGGGTGGAGGGAGGGGAGGAGAGGAGAGGAGGAGGGGAGGAGAGGGGGAGGGGAAGGAGACTTGCCTGGGAACCTGCGGATGAAGAGCTTGCGGATCTCCCCGAGGAAGAGGATGGTGAGGGCAAAGGGGATGCCGATGAACCAGTACACGATGCTGATGGGGCGCACTGAAAACACCTCCTGCAGGAACGGCACGTACAGCAGCGCCGCTGCTATGCCCGTCTCAAACAGCAGCGAGAAGTTGAGCACCCAGTTCCACATGCCCTGTTGTGGGGGTTGAGGAGGGGAGGGGGTGGGGGGGAAAGAGGGGGTGGATTTGGGGCGCCTCAAAACATGTTCAGCAGCGCTGCTGCTATGCCCATCCCATTTCATCAAACAGCAGTGAGAATTTGGCTACCCAGTTCCATATGCCCTGTTGTGGGGGTTGAGGAGGGGGGGAGGGGAGAGAGGGGGTGGATTTGGGGCGCCTCAAAAGACGTACAGCAGCGCCGCTGCTATGCCCGTTTTATAACAGCAGCTAGAAGTTGAGCACCCAGTCCACATGCCCTGATGTGGGGGTGTGGGGGAGACACAGATGAGGGATTTGAAGTTGGGAGGGAGTGGGTGTAGCAGAGAGAGTGAAATCTGAAGATGCAGCATTGACGACACATGGGATGCTGAGAGGAGGTGGCATCTCCGGTGGCAGAGGCAGAGGCAGAGGCAGCGGCAGAGGCAGAGGCAGCGGCAGAGGCAGCGGCAGAGGCAGAGGCAGCGGCAGCGGCAGCGGCAGAGGCAGAGGCAGAGGCAGAGGCAGCTGCAGAGGCGGAGGAGGCGGCGGCAGCAGCAACGAGGCTGGCCTTCAATCAACCTACTGACCTGTTGGAAGACGGAGAGGCGGCGGGTCTTGCAGACGATGAGGTTGGCCCACTGGGTGACGATGATGGCAACAAAGTAGGCCGACTGCGCATACAGCAGCACCTGCCGCTGGTACTCGGGTTCGCCTGGGACATGGCCCGCCCGCCCCACCAGTACAACGCCCCCTGCTGGCCCTGCCGGAGGGTCCAGGGACTTTCGGTTGGGGAAGCCATACTGTGAAATGGGCATGGAAGAGGTGGGGAGAGGGGGAGGGGGGTTTGGAGGGTGTGAGGGGGGAGGCGAGAGAATTGGGAGAAGAGGGGAGCGTGGCAAAGAGTGAGTTGGAGTCAGACACAAAAGGCTTGGAAGCTGTTTAAAAGCTGGTAGCTGTGCAGTGACAGTGTGTACCAGGAAGCAAAGCAGAAGTGCAAGGAATGGAACCATCACCCATCCACCCACCTATCCACCCACCCATCCACCCACCCATCCACTTACCCATCCACCCACCAATCCACCTCCCCTAACCTCCATCCACCCCAGCCTCCTCTCTTCCCCCCTTGAACCCCTCTCCCCAGCGCACACGCACCAGGGCGGTATCCTTAGCAGCGCACTGCGAGGGCATGGTCCCGCCCACAAACTGCGAGGCCGGCGAGTAGCACGTGAGGTTGCAGAACTGCTGCCCGCGGAACCCGCCCAGGCTGAACTCACTAAACGGGTCCGCCACAACAGTCCCGGGCGCGGGGGCCGGGCAGCCGTAGAGGCAGTAGGGCACGGAGGAGGGCGAGTTGGCGGGCGTGGGGATGGCTGTGTAGTCTGGCGAGGCGCAGCCGTACCCGCAGCGGTCGGGCTCGAGGTCGCTGTTGAGTGAGCAGATGATGGAGGAGGTGGCGAAGTCTGAGCCTATGGACGGCAGCACCTGGAGAGAGGGGAATAGAGCAGGGAGGAGGGAGGGGTGAGTAGGGAATGAGAGATGAAGGAATAGATTTGTGTAGGTGTAGTCTGGAGGGCCGCAGAGTACCCGCAGCGAAGAAGGTGAAAGTAGAGGAGTTTGTGTGACCAAGGGGACAGAGATGGACAGAGATGGACAGAGATGAAACAGATGGATAAGTGGGGACTGAGAGCGAATGCTGGGCGAGGTGAGTCTTCAGCAGCAGACAAACGTTATGTGGAATCAATTACACATACCCACCCTCCTGTTTAAAATCACACATAATGCCCACTCCCACATGTGTCCCCCTTCCACATGCACCTGTCATCCACATGCAACCCCATTCCCATGCACGTCCCCTCCCCCTCCCCATGCATGCACTGACGTGCGGTGGGTAGCCATAGTCGTTGAAGACAGCGAGGTAGGCGAGGAAGCCAGCGAGCGTCTGCACAAGAGAGCAGTCGCAATGCCACCCCCCTCAACTGCACCCCACCCCCACGTGCCCCGTTCCCCATTCCCTCCTATGGACCTCCCCTGCCCTGCCCGAGGTACTGACATGCGGCGGATAGCCATAGTCATTGAAGACAGCGAGGTAGGCGAGGAAGCCGGCGAGTGTCTGCACGACGCCGATCTGCAGGTACGCGTGGCTGATCAGCTTCCAGCTCACCAGGTGGTCCCTGCGCGCATTGCGCGGTGGCCGCTCCATTATGTCCGACTCCTGGTGGGGGGTGGAGGGGTGGGGGAGGGGTGGGGGATGGGTGGGGGAGAGGGAGGAGGGGATTATGGAGGCGCCTCAAAAAACTTCCAGCTCACCAGGTGGTCCTTGCGCGCATTGCGCGGCGGGCGCTCCATTATGTTCGACTCCTGAGGGGTGGGGGAGGGGGATGGGCAGGGACAAGGGGAGGGGAGCGGCAGGGGGAGGGGTGAGTCAAGGTGAATGGATGGGAGGTGGGACGAGGGAGGAGGGGGCGAGAATGGAGGGGCGTGGGAAGAGGGGGGGGGCTGGAAGTCGCATAGCAAGCAGGAAGTCCGTGCCCAGGCAGCTCCCACCTCTCCCCTCCCTTCCCTATTCTCCCCGCATCTCCCCACCAACTTCCCCTGACCCCTCCTCACTACACCACACCCACCCATGCATGAGCACGGTGGCGAGCACGAGGGGCACACTAGTTGGTCATTGATAAGGCACCACATCATCCCCCACTCCCACTCCCACTCCCACTCCCCGCTCCTGCTCCCACTCCCCGCTCCCATTCCCACTCCACTCCCATTCCCACTCCCACTCCCATTCCCACTCCCACTCCCGCTCCCACTCTCACTCCCGCTCCCACAACTACTACTCCCACAACCACAACCTGTCCCCACTTCCCCCCCCCTTCCATCCCTCTCTTCCCCCTTTTCTTCCCACCTTTCCCATGCACCCCCCATTCATCAGCCGCTCACCTTCTCTTCATATGCGAGCGAGATAGCGGGCAGCATATCGGTCCCGAGGCAGATGGCGAGCATGAGCACAGTCGACAAAGCCAGCGGCACACCCCCGAGAACATTGACGAGGTAGGGCACGAGCTCAGGGATGTTGACGGTGAGCGCGTAGCAGATGGTCTTCTTGAGGTTGTCAAAGATGAGCCGCCCCTCCTCCACGCCGTTCACTATGGACGCAAAGTTGTCGTCCATCAGGATCATGTCCGCTGCCTCCTTGGACACGTCCTTGCTGCGTGGGGGAAGGAGAGATGACGCGGGCGAGGGTGGGGAGGGGAGATGAGAGGGGGAGAGACTGAGGTGGGGCAGAGGAAAACGAGGTGAAGCTGTGGTCCATGGGGATCACGTCCGCCACGCCGCCTCCTTGGACACGTTCTTGCGGCGTGGGGGAGTGCAGGGAGGGGAGAAGAGATCAGGAGAGTGGGAGTGGAGGAGGTGAGGAAAGCGGAGGGAAGGGGAAGAGAAGAATGACGTTGAGTTGTGGTCCATCAGGAAGGATCATGTCTGCTGCTTCCGTGGGCACGTATGTCCTTGCTGGGTGGGGGAAGTGAGAAGGAAGGGAGTGGGGGGATGAAGGAATGGGGGAGAATGGGGTGGGGCAGAGGAGAAAGAGTTGGAATGGTCGTCCATAAGGGCCATGCCCGCTGTCTCATCTTTGCTGGGTGCGCGGGTTGCGGGGGCGAGGGAGGGGAGGACAAGTCTGTCGTCCACGTCACAGCACCACGAGGGCGAACCATCAGCACCACGAGAGCCGCAGAGAGCGCGCGAGAGAGAATGTCGTCCGCTCTCTGCACCACGAGCAGAGCACGCAACAAGCACGTAACAGCAGCACACCCTGCAGCACAGTGCCCACGGCAGTGCCCACGGCAATGCCCACAGCAGCACAGCATACCCAGCAATGCCCATGGCGATGCCTATGTCGCCCTTTTTGAGTGCAGGTGCGTCGTTGACTCCGTCCCCCGTGACGGCAACAATCTCCCCCCGCCGCTGGCAGTGCTCCACTATCAGCAGCTTGTGCGCCGGGGACACACGCGCAAACACCAGCTGGTGCAATGGGAAAGAGTGGAGGGAAGGGGAAGGGGGAGTGGAGGAAGAAGGGGAAGAGTGGAGAAAGAAGGGGAAGAGTGGAGGAAGAGGTGGATGAGAGTGAGAACACGCGGGTGAATAGTGAGAAAAAGAGGAGCGCGAGAATGAGAGGGATAGAGTGAGCACGAGAGGGGATGCAAGCCAGCATGCAATTTGAAACTCCCCAAAGCGACTCACTCAGCTGCTGCTGGCCTGCGTGCATGCCTTTTGAGGAGTCTCAAAGGGCGTACACACCTGCTCGTGTGAGAGTGCCTCGTCCCACTTGAGCTGCTCGTCCCGGGGGTGAGTGAGGTCTTTACTTTTTATTACTTCTAAGAATTCTCAAAAGTAAAGTCCACATTGAGGCGTCTCAAAGGGACTACGCACCTGCTCGTGCGAGAGCGCCTCGTCCCACTTGAGCTGCTCGTCACGGGGGGTGAGGTCGCCCCACTGGCGGATGTCCTCACCCGTCACCACACATGCCGTGCCATCGTCCACCTTCGCCTGGTCCATAATGCCCACCTGCACCATGCATGCATGCATGCACAAGCACACCATCATAGATATCATCACACACACCATCAGAGACACAGGCATGAACGACGACCCTTTAATGTCACGTTTGTGTGTACCCTCTCTCCCTCCCCATCTCTTTCCCCCTCCTCCTTCCCCTCCCCCTCCCCTTCCCCCCCCCCCCTTCCCCCTCCCCTTCCCCTTCCCCCTCCACCTTCCCCTTCCCCCTCCCCTTCCCCCTCCCCTTCCCCTCCCCCTCCCCCTCCCCTCCCCTTCCCCCTCCCCTCCCCCTTCCCCTCCCCCTCCCCCTTCCCCTCCCCCTTCCCCTCCCCATCCCCTTTCCCCTCCCCTCTCCCCCCCCTCGCACCTTGAGAGCAATGACCTTGGCGGTGATGGGGTGGTCGCCCGTGACCATGATGACGCAGACCTTGGGCTCTCTTCCCCAGTGAGTCACGCGTTACTGTCTCCCCTCTCCCCGCCCCCCCCCCCCCCCCCCCCCCCCCCCCCCCCCCCCTCTTTCTTCCTCTTTTCACTCCCATTTGCCCCTCCTCTTCACCTTGAGAGCGATGGCCTTGGCGGTGATGGGGTGGTCGCCCGTGACCATGATGACGCGGACCTTGGCCCTTTACCCATAAGCGGCGACCCCTAGAATTCCACTCTACATTTCCCACCACTTCCCTTCCCATTCTCCCCCCGCGCACCTTGAGAGCGATGGCCTTGGCGGTGATGGGGTGGTCGCCCGTGACCATGATGACGCGCACCTTGGCGCGGCGGCACTGCGCCACGGCCTCGGGCACGCCCTCGCGCGGGGGGTCCAGCATGCCCACCATGCCCACAAACGTCAGCCCCTCCGTCGGGAAGTTGGGCTCGGGCTTGTTCGTGAACTGCGGTTAGGGTGGGAAGGGGGTTGGGATAGGGGAGAAGGAGTACGGTAGGGGAAGAGAGGCGAAGGGGATGGGAGGACAGGGGTGAGAAGGAGGGAGGGGGTGGAGGTGAAAACTGAGTGAGCCTGCTGGTGGAACAAGGAGCGGCACTCCAGCACGCCCTCGCGAGGGGGGTCCAGCATGCCCACCATGCCCACCATGCCCACAAACGTCAGCCCTTCCGTCGGGAAGTTGGGCTCGGGCTTGTTCGTGAACTGTTGTTGACATGGGGAGTGGACGAGGGCGGCGGTGGGGACGGCATGGGTGGAGAATGGAAAAGGGGAGTATGGGGGAGGGATGGGGGGGGAGACAGGGAGGGAGGAAGGGGGGCGGTGGAAGGAGTGGGGGTTGAGGTGATGGGTTGACATGCAGGTTGAACAAAGAGCGAGTATTTGAGTTAGGCCAGTCCGGCTGGAGACTGAAAGCTCATGCCCTTCCCCAAAAAACAAACCCCTCCCCTTCCTCCCATCCTCCCCTCCCCTCTGCGGCCCGTCCCCACACCATGAAGTCATTGGCGAAGCCATCGAGGTCACGGTAGGCCATGCCGAGCACGCGCTCGCCGTACCCCCCCAGCTGCTCCACAGCGTCCTGGAAGTACTTGCGGCTCTCGCTGTTGAGGTCAAACACCTGCCCGTTCACCATTATGTACGCACACCGCGCCAGCACGCGCTCCGGTGCGCCCTTCATCACTAGAACTGGGGGAAGGCGGCCCTGCGCGGATTGCCTGTGAAGGGTGATGAGGGGGTGGGGAGGGGCGAGGAAGGGGGGAGGGGGGAAGAGATGGATGGGTCATCAGTAGGGATGTGGAGAGGGGATAGTTTGGTAGAAGCATGTTTGGTTGCTTGGTGCGAGGTTGCAGGCGGTGCAGTCCTTTCCGCCAAGATCTGAGGATGATTCCAGAGGGGACACCGGGCAAGCCAACAGCCTTTCTCTTTCCTCTCCTCCCCCTCCTCTTCCCTGTAGCGCCGCCACTTGTTGGTGGAGGAGAACTTAATCTCGAACACCTTGGCGTAGAAGTCGCGCGCCTCCCTATCCCCTTTCAACCACCCTCCCCTTCCTGCCAAAACGTCCCTTCCCTATCCCCTCCGCTTCCCACTGCCCTCACCCGTCTCCCCCTCTCCTCCCCCTCCCCCCCCCCCCCCCCCCCCATCTCCCCTCCCCCCATCTCCCCTCCCCGTCCCCCCATCTCCCCTCCCCGTCCCCCCATCTCCCCTCCCCGTCCCCCCATCTCCCCTTCTCCCGTCCCCGCCCAGCACCATACATACACGTGGATGGAGAGCTGCCACTTGTTGGTGGAGGAGAACTTGATCTCGAACAGCTTGGCGTACAGGTCGCGCACCTCCTTTTCCTCTCCCAACACCACTCCCCTTAACCCCCGCCCACCCTTGTCGTCCTTTCAAGGCTCCCCCTTTCCCCCCACCCAACCCCCTGCGCCCTTCCATTCTTTCCCGGCACCATACATACACGTGGATGGAGAGCTGCCACTTGTTGGCGGAGGAGAACTTGATCTCGAACAGCTTGGCGTAGAGGTCGCGCACCTCGCGCGCGGACCGCAGAGGCTCCACGAACTTGAGCAGGCCCTGCTCCGACGCATCCCCGCTGCACGGTGCGCTCAGCAGGTCAAAGTCCGGCCTCCTCATCTCTATCGCCATGTCCTCGCCCTCTGCAGGCAGACGGGGGAGCGTGGGGGGAGGGGGCAGGCGCGGATGGGGTGTGGGGGTGCGGGTGGGGGGAGAAGGGGCGGGCGGGGTAAGGGGAACATGAGAAGAGTGTAGTTGCAGAGAGTGCAGATGAGAAGGGAGTGCGAGGGAGGAGAAGGGGGAGGAGAAGGAAAGTGGACGGCAGCGGCTCCACAAACTTTAGCAGGCCCTGCATGGCATTTATGCATCGCCGCTGCACGGCGCGCTCAGCAGGTCAAAGTCCGGGCGCTCTGTCGCCGCTTGCATTTCTATTGCCATGTCCTCGCCCTCTGTGGTAGCTGGTTGGGAGCAGGAGACAGGGTGGAGCTGTGGGCGTTCTGAGACGTTTCAAGGGTGTCGAAGAGGGGGAGGGAGGGGCGGGTACGGGTAAGGCAGGGGAAGGAAAGACGAGAAGAGAGGAGAAGGTGCACACATGGGGTGCAACACGTGCAGATCAAATGAGCAGCGAGTGCAAGGGAGGTGAAAGGGGAAGGAGAAGGGAGAGCGGCAAGGAGTGAGGCTACGATGGTGACAGAGAGGAAAGTGAAAAGGGGAAGCACGGGCGGGAACAAGCTGGGCGGGCGGGTGGGCGGGCGGATGGGCGAGCAGGTGGGTGAATGGGTGGATGGGTGGTAGGGCAGGGGCGGGGAGAGGGGCGGGGAGAGGGGCAGGGGTGACAGGGTGGGAGGGGAAATACGTGTGGAGAGGAAGTTGGCGTTGTTGCAGAGCGTGCAGATGAGCTGCAGCTTCTGGAAGGTGATGGACTGTGGCTCGTACGCGAGCGATGCCGCAGGGCTCTTCATGAACGCCTCCCACTCCACCCGGTTGTGCACCGCTGGGCACTCAAACACCCGCAGGTCGTACCAGCAGTGCTCTGGTTGGGAAGAAGAGGGAAGAGGGGAGAGGCGGGCGGGGGGGGGGGGGGGGGGGGGCGGCGGTGGGGGAGGGAAGAAGAGGGGAGCACAGGGGGAACAGGAACGGTGAGGGGGGAGCTGGAAGGAGGAGGTAGGGGGATGACGCGGTTGTGCACCACCGGAGACTCCAAACACCCGCACCACAGGTAATCCCCATCCCAATTCCTCCAATTCCCCCCTCCTTCTCCCCCTCCCCAACCCTCTCCCCCATCCTCCCCCCCCTGCAGGCACGTACGAACAGTCATGCGGTTCTGCGTGAGCGTGCCCGTCTTATCCGAAGCAATCGTCGTACACGACCCGAGCGTTTCCACGCTCTGCAGGTTCTTCACCAGCACGTTCCTCCGGTGCATACGTTTCGCCGCGAGCGCCAGCGACACCGTCACAGCCGCCAGCAGCCCCTCGGGCACATTAGCAACGATGACGCCGATGCCAAAGACAACGGTCTGAATGAAGGGGTCGCCGAGGGAGAGGCCGATGGCGAAGAAGATGAGCCCCATGACCACTGCCAGCAGCCCGATCATCTTCACAAATTGTGCGAGCTCGATGGAAAGAGGGGTTTCGTTGTTTTCTGTCAGGACAGCCAGACCTGGGGGGGAGGAGGGAGGCGGGCGGTGGGGAGTGGGGTGGAGGCGGAGGGGGGAGAAGGGCGATTGTATTTAGTCGACTCAGAGAAGGAGAGAGGCGCCCCATGAGGATAGCAAGAAGCCCCTCGGGCACGTTGGCAACGATGACGCCGATGCCAAAGACAACGGTCTGAATGAAGGGGTCGCCGAGGGAGAGGCCGATGGCGAAGAAGATGAGCCCCATGACCACTGCCAGCAGCCCGATCATCTTCACAAATTGTGCGAGCTCGATGGAAAGAGGGGTTTCGTTGTTTTCTGTCAGGACAGCCAGACCTGGGGGGAGGAGGGAGGCGGGCGGTGGGGAGTGGGGTGGAGGCGGAGGGGGGAGAAGGGCGATTGTATTTAGTCGACTCAGAGAAGGAGAGAGGCGCCCCATGAGGATAGCAAGCAGCCCCTCGGGCACGTTGGCAACGATGACGCCGATGCCAAAGACAACGGTCTGAATGAAGGGGTCGCCGAGGGAGAGGCCGATGGCGAAGAAGATGAGCCCCATGACCACTGCCAGCAGCCCGATCATCTTCACAAATTGTGCGAGCTCGATGGAGAGCAGCGTCTCGTTGTTCTCCGTCAGGACAGCGAGACCTGGGGGGGGGGAAGGACGAGGGGTGAAGGCGGCCAGGGGAAGGCGGCCAGGGGAAGGCGGCCAGGGGGAGAGGGCCGGAGAAGGAAGGGGAGGGAGGGAGTGGGGTGGGAGCGGGGAGGAAATCACGAATGGCGATTGTTGAGTCGTCTGCCCAGACTTCACCTCCCTTACTCCACTTCCTCCCTTCCCATCCCACCTCCCCCTCCTCCCTCTGCAGCGTCCTCCTCTCTTCCTTCCCACGTACCCCCCTCGTCTCCAACTAACCCCATCTGCGGCCCCACTCTTGATTCTCTCCAAAACCCTCTATATCCCACCCTTGCTTCTCCGCTCCCCCTCCCCGCTCCCCCTCCCCTCCCCAACCCCCCTCCGCATCCCCCCCTTCCCAGCACCGCACCTGCAATCTGCCTCATGGCAATGTTGTCGCCCATGCCGATGACCACGCCCCAATCACTACCTACCGCTACACATGATAGTGCTTCTCGGCCGTCCCCACTCGTCTCCATTCCCTCCACAACCCAACCACGCATCCCTCCCCCTCCCCTCCCCCTCACTTTCCCCCCTCCCTCTCCATTCACCCTCCCCCTTCCCCTCCCCATCCCGCTACCCCTTTACCTCCCCTCCCCCTTTTCCCCATCGTGTCCCCCATCGTTTCCCGTGCCACGCACCTGCGATCTGTCCCATGGCGGTGTTATCCCCGGTGCCGATCACGATCCCCCTGGCAGTGCCGCTGCACACGATGGTGCCGTAGAAGGCAATGTTGGCGGCCTCCAGCGGCTGCCAGATCTGCTCGCCCGTCTCGTCCTTCTCCAGCCGCGGACCCCGCTCCACCGCCTCGCTCTCGCCCGTCAGCGCACTGTTGTCCACCTGGATGGAAAGGAGTGGGGGGGAGGAAGGAGGGGGAGAGATGGACGGAGGGAAGAGGAGGGAGCGTGGAGGGGGGAGAGAAAGAAGCATTTGAGACGTCTCTAAAGGAAGCCCCCGCTCCACCGCCTCGATCTCTCCCGTCAGCGCACTGTTGCCCACCTGCGCAGGGAAGGAACGGGAAAGAGGGGCGCGAGGGGGGATGCGTGGGGGACCGCGGGGGAGAGGTGAGGTTAGAGGGTGGGAGCGAGGGTGGGGAAAGGGTGTTAAGATGGTGGGAGGGGGTACGCAGGGAAGAACCATGTTCTAGGCTTACTTTCCGAGGTGGGTGAGGGTGAGAATTACTGAGAGGAGCGCCGAACCAGATTATTCCCCGCAATGGTATGCTCGTGGCTTTAGCTTGAGTGCAAAGCACGAGTGCGGGCGAGCAATTTACCATCATGCTTCCCATGGCGGCCATCAACCCCCACCCCTCCTTGCCGCAACACTTCCTCCCTAACTCGGCCCCACATCCCCCTCCCTCCCCCATCCCTCCCCTCTTCCCTTTTCCCTCCCCTCCCCTTCAATCACTCCCCTTTCCCCCCGCCCCTCCCCCTCTCTTCCCCCCTTCAGCCGCACAGTGAGGTCGCTGGCGGAGATGATGCGGATATCCGCGGGGACCTTATCCCCGTCGTTCAGCTCCACGAGATCCCCGGGCACGAGCGCCGTCGCGTCGATCATCATGGACTCGCCGTTGCGGATGACGTGGCAGTTGGCGGGGATGAGCGCGCGGAAGCCCTCCATGATGTGCGCGCTCTTGTGCTCCTGCATGAACGTGAACGTCGCTGTTACCACCACCACCACCAGCAGCACTATCCCCAGGTATAGCTGTCGTGGACGGGAGGAAGGGGAACGGGAACGGCAAGGGGGACGCGGAGGGGGAGGGGGACGGGGGGAAGGGGAGGGGGACCGGGAAGGGGAAGGAGAGGGGAAAGCGGTGGGGAGGGGTGCGGAGGAGGGGAGAACGAGAGAACGGAGAAAAGAACGGAGACGACGAGTAGGTGAGGGGGAAACGACGAGCTGATGGACAAACGGGAGGAGGAGGAGCAGCAGCAGCAGCAGCAGCAGAACGAAGAGGCAACGTGGGACGATTTGGGAGGGTGTGGAAAGGGGGAAGGGAAGGGTGGGAGGGGTGCGGGCGGGCGGGCGGGCGGGGAGGAGAGAATGAGAGCGCGCGCGCGCGCACGCGAAAACGCGCGAGCGCGCGCGCGTACGTACGTTTTCCTTGACGTCATTCTCGTCGATGACGTAGGCGATGAAGCAGAGCGCGGCGGCGGCGATGAGCAGCAGCGAGAAGAAGTTGGTGTACTGGTGAAGGTACTTGAGCCACCACGGCGTCACGTACCCCGGCGTCAGCTTGTTCTCGCCGTACCGCGTGCGGTTCCGCTGCACCTGCGTGTCCGTTAAGCCCTGCGGCGCGGGGGAAGGGGTGGCGCGGAGGCGCGGTGGGGCGCGCCGCGGGGGGACGTGTGGGGAGGGGGAGGGGGGGGGGGAAAGAGGGAGGTGAGAGTTGGGGATTGTGTGGCAGCAAGGAAGCGGGGGTGCTTGGTGAAAGCTGAGAATCGGTGGGATGAGTGGATGTCGATGCGCTCAAGGCGGGCGGCTGCGACCGACAGCCAAGGGACGCGCAACGGGAGCGCAAGGGAGCGCAAGGAACGCGCAACGGAAGTGCAAGGGACGTGCAAGGGAATTGTTCGGATGACTGTTGATTCATAAATGTGTAACGTGGTGAAGAATGGGAGGGACGGCTGGTCCCTTTTGCGTGCTACATTTCGCGCTTTCCCTGTTGATGCAAGCTTTTCATATGGGCTGCATGGCATGGCATGGCATGGGCGAGAGGGAGCGTACCTTGGTGGCGTTGGTGCGGAAGTGCAGGCAGAGTTGATGCACCGGCCATGTGTGCTCCACCTGTTCGCCACACGCGCGCACGCACGCACACGCGCGCACACACGTAAAAACACACGCGCACGCGTCGGGAAGGGTGTGAGAGGGTTGCGCGCAAGAAATCAAGCATACGCCCCCATCCGCATGCGCACACCCAAACGCCGACAAACGCACGCTCGCACGCAGGCATTCACGGGATGATTGACTCAATGGCGTCTTTCCACAATCACTCCGCCACTCCCGCTCTCCGCCCACATGTTCCCTTCGCTCAGCTATCTTAAAACTATTCCAAGCAGTTCCCCCTTCGCGCGATACCCTCCCCCTTCCCGCGTGCTCCCGCTACTCACGGCCTTCCGCGACCTCCCGTCGTGCGCTACAATCTGAGCTCACAACTGCTCGTTTCTCCGCCACCTCCCGATCCCTGCCTGCCCGCTGGCTTCTTTTGTTACAATACAGCAATGGGCGGAGGCATTGCGCGGCAAAACAGATTCAAGTAAGCCAGATCCATCCGGACGCGAGGCTTCGCATCGGCATCAACCGACTGATAAAACGGCGCACCAACTTTTGAGGCGCCTGAAAAGGCGCTATCCGAAGCCAGATCCATCCGGGCTCCGCATAGTAATTAACGAGCTGTTATAACGATGCACCGCGAGACTTCAAGGAATCAACGGCGACGGATACCGGCGGGTTATGAGCGGGTTACCAGCACGACGACGACGCCTTGAGCTCGCCAATTATAACGCTCCCACATTCCGCCTTCCAGCACCCCACTTCATTCTGAACGTTTCAAGTTCCTAACCGTTCTTTCTCGTGTCGCGTGTCTTCCTCTCTTCCTCACGGTTTCCCGATTCCTCCCCCTCACCTTGAATCTCGACATAATCCCGCAACATTTCCGCGCCCGGCCCCACTTCATCCAATTCCCCCCCCTCCCACATTCCCCCAGCCCCCTTGCCCCGCACTCACGAAGTGGATGTCCTTGCGCAGCTCCTGTTGGCGCTGCTGCGCCGGCAGTTGCTTCAGCGGCTTGAAGTGGTCGTGCAGTCCGGCAGCCGGCGTCGCGTCGCCCGCCTCCACCACCTCCACGCGCTCCACCGCCGCGGCGGCTTCCGCCGATGCAGCGGACGCGGCGGCGGCTGCGTCGCGCGCCTTAGAGGCCTCAGACTCGATCTCGAACACGTCCATTGTCTGTGCGGATCTTTGTTAAGTGATAGTAAATGCGGATCTTAGCTAGACTATGGAAAACGGGGGTTCTTGCTGTTGGTGGGTTAGTGTAGGCGGATTCTTATGTCTGAGATGTTGCTAAGCATGAGGATGTATGGCACGCCATTGGCGGTATAAATAGTAACAGATAACCGTTGCCCTGTGTGCTATCAGGGGCCTCTCGTGCGGAGCTATCAACGGTCAAGTCTCGGTGGCGGTGGCAGCACGCAGTGGCTCGCCGCGGTCAGCGGCGTGCAACACGGCGGCACTCCACGTCAGCGGAGTGAGCTTCACCCAATCTTCTTGTCATAGGCGCGCGATGAGATCCTTTGGAGAAATCACGGGCTTTTCACGCATCAATGGCAGCATATAAGTTCAGGCGTGTGGTGTACCGCTCGGTCTAAATTCTGTAGGAATTCGCGGAAATGCGGCAGCCAGCGATGACAGGGAAGCGGAACTTTCCTGACTCTGTAAAAATCTGCAGCGATGCCTGTAAGGTGATAGTGAGGCGGTGCTGCTGCAAAGAAGGAGGCGGTAATGGGGCTGGTTTTGCTCCAGCGACAAATGCGCTAATCTGCACCAACCCGCGACAATAAATCATCAGCTACGAGAATGATGAGAATAGCACTTCTTGGTGATTGCGCGGGCATGGTGCACATAGCGCGGGAATTCGGGGAACCCAACCATTTTGGCGGAGCTTTTCCCCATCGTCCGGTGTTGCGGCTTGGCTTGGCGGGGGGGAGCATTGAGGGGGTAGTGGGTGGTGGTGGGCGTTCCTGAGGCTGACAATGTGGGCATGTGGCGGAAACGAGATTCTCGGGGCTGGTTGCTGATGGGCCCGTCATTTCCCAAGGCTGGGTGACGCACCACGGCGGTCGGGAAGTGGGGATTCGTTTTTGACCGGAATTAGGTGCCAGGACTGCCCATGGCAAAATGGAATTTCCGCATTTTACGGGAGACCAAAGGATGGTCTTCTGCTCCCTTCATAGCACAAACGCTAGGCAGCGTTGATGTGCTTGCTTGTGTTGAATGGACACCTGCGTAATGTTCTGATAGCCACGAATGCTTCTTCACGATTTAATAACGCTTATGTAAGCACCTTCAAACTGTTCATTTCGGAGTTCAGTCTGCAGGACGCACCACACTTGAACCCGAACCTGATGGAATCCAGAAGATTTTTTTTTTTTTCCTAGCCTTCGGGTGAGCTCATGAGGAAATCGCAGCTCCCTATGCCCCAAGACCCACTTGTGGGGGAATCCCCTTGGTGAAATACCAAGACACGCTAGTCCCCTCCTGTTCCATTTCCGAACTGACCTGAGCCTGAGTTGAGGCACCTGACCTGAGAAAGAGGGCTCTCAGGTTCGCGCCGCATGGGGGCCGCTGCAAATGCTGATTGTACAAGCTGGATCTCCCCACCCCAGTTACGAATAGGGCGGGTCACATTGATCGCTTTTGGGTTTGTCTAGCACGGTGAGCTACGTTACAGCACGGTCGAGAACAAGCTTCCAGTTGTCACCACTTTCAACCACTGTAGGAACCAAAACGGGAATCCCGAACGCGTACCATCTCCGTTAGTGCATATCGCTGGAGATGGAACACAAGGTAAGGGCGCGTGTCTTTTGTAAAATCCATGCAAAACTCGAGTTTTGAGTTGAACTTACGCAGTTGAACCTAGGTCGACCTAGGCTCAACAATATTGGTTGCTGTAGCCCGAGTCGCTGCTCCTCAACCCACAAGAACCAAAAGACACCCAAAGTTCAACAATCGAAGTTGAACTTTCCCGAGTCGCGGTTAACCTACGTAGGTTACCCTGTGTTTGACGCGTTTTTGGTTTTTCCGTAACCCTTTTTCCGAAGTCGTTCGTGCGCACGAAATGTGCTACGACCGTCGCCTAGATTCGCAACTACCTAGTGCATTGTCAAGAGGACACACGAGTGAAATTTTGTGCACACCTAGTTTCAACCGAAAGTTCAACCCATTCGTCATCTACAATGTTGTACTAGGACACACGATGCACAAGCGAAACATTTAGCGAGATTCGCGAATAAGGTTACCAGCAGAAGTTCAACCAAATTTTCGAACCTCTACAGCAAAAGACACGCGCCCTAACTTACCACGGTCATCACTTGCACATAATAGTTGCACCCACCCAGCAACCTCTATCAGATTTGTCTTCAGCCCCATTGAACAAATCCCATTTGGAGATGGAACAGAAGGTCAAGCAAGGCCATTTGGAATCCGTTAAGTCCCTGGATACATACACTTCCATACAACGAATGGAATTCCACAACTAATCAACACTTCCTTATTCCAGCACACCACATACTCTCAGTCAGCACCATCATCCTCTCGCCCCATTTCAAAGCGGCCACATCTCGAGGGGAACCATCCACTCAACATGCCTCCCCCGGACCCAGCCTTAGCAGGAGACTGGGAGAAGAGCAGGGACAGGGGGCGGGGAGGCGTGGTAAAGCTGTCCCCATCAGGATCGCCGCCACTGCTTGCACCTGCACTGGCAGACATTCCCGCCGTGTGGGGATGGGCTTCTGGTGTGGTGACGTCAGATGAGGTGGTGGAACCGGGGGAAGGCGAGGGGGAGGAGGGATCGTTGTACGCGAGGATAGCTGTCTCCATGTGCTCATATACCTAGTATGAGGAGAACACACGGAGCAGATTGAGCGCAGCACAGCACAGAGCACGGGAGGGAATGGCGCATGACAGAGTTGGAGAGAGGCCGATTTACAAATTACATGGACGCAAGTGTGAGAAATAGCATGAATGCTGATGCAGGCAGCAGGAGGTCAACTGAACCACATCGTGTGTTTCTCTATTGAAAATATTTCCACACAGGGAGTGTGTGCACGTACAAACTAGCTAAGCAAGTACATTACGTAATCATCACTGGCACATAAGAGACGACTCCACAGCTTTCACCCTCTCACCCCGTCTCCCTCTTTCCCGTCTCCCTACCCCACCCCCTCCTCCCACACGCACCCACACTCACACACACAAAACACACACACGCGCGCGCGCGCACACACACACACACACACTCACACACACACACACACACACTCACACACACACACACACACACACACACACACACACACACTGGCAGAGGCGCTCGATCTTAGCAGAGCTCATGCCTCGCGTGCATGTGGCAGCCACGTACGACGCACACTCTTGCACGTTAAAACACACCGCCTCGCGTCTCGACCCAGCTAGGGCCGTTTGTGCCAGGCCGAACCCCGCTGACAGCTGATGGCATGCAGGCAGGTAGGTAGACAGACAGGCGGGCCGCAAGGCAGACAGACAGGCAGGACGACGGCAAGGTTTGGGGAAATGGCACAAGCCATGGAAGGTGAGGGTGAGTTCAGAATGTGCATGCAGGTGAGGGGGCGAAATAGGTGCCGAAAAGCTGCAGCAGAAGCCTGATGCTCGTCATGGTGGTTCCTGCTATGCTGCATATGATTTCCGTGGACTGTGTCGTTGGCCTCATTTGCTCATTTTCATATGATTTCCATTCAGCATCTGGAAGAAAATGAGCAGAGCGTACCGCAGCAATGAAAAGCTGTTCAAAGAGGTCCGAGGGGGCAATGCTCTCCAATGCATCCAGTGTGCTCTCCCTGCCTCCCCAACACGCACATACATAACAGGCACAGCACAAGGCAATACAGTCACACAGGCACAGCACAAGGCAATACAGTCACACAGGCACAGCACAAGGCAATACAGTCACACAGGCACAGCACAAGGCAATACAGTCACACAGGCACAGCACAAGGCAATACAGTCACACAGGTACAAGGGGGATACAGTCACACAGGTACAAAGGGGATACAGTCACACAGGTACAAAGGGGATACAGTCACACAGGTACAAAGGGGATACAGTCACACAGGTACAAAGGGGATACAGTCACACAGGCACAAAGGGGATACAGTCACACAGGTACAAAGGGGATACAGTCACACAGGCACAAGGGGGATACAGTCACACAGGTACAAAGGGGATACAGTCACACAGGCACAAGGGGGATACAGTCACACAGGTACAAAGGGGATACAGTCACACAGGCACAAGGGGGATACAGTCACACAGGTACAAAGGGGATACAGTCACACAGGCACAAGGGGGATACAGTCACACAGGTACAAAGGGGATACAGTCACACAGGCACAAGGGGGATACAGTCACACAGGCACAAGGGGGATACAGTCACACAGGCACAAGGGGGATACAGTCACACAGGCAGAAGCAAAGAGTGGAGCTTTGTGAATGGAATACTGGCTGACGCACAGACAATCTTGTTCAAAGAAATGGCATGTGAAAAGCACAATTTGCATGTGTGCAGGAGGCAGCAGTGCATGGGTGCAGGAGGCAGTAATGCATGGGTGGGAGCAGGCAACGTGCATGCATGCACGCATGCATGCAGGCAGGCATGCATGCAGGGCAGAAGGAGTACCCTGCGAGCTCCTCGTCAAAGAGTGGTGGCTGCAGAATAGCAGGGATGGGCCGCGCCGCGTTCCATAGCTCCTGCCACAGATTGCCTGGCAGCATGGAGGAGCGAAGGGGGAGAGGGGCCGAGGAAAGGGGTTGACAAGGAGAGCAAGGATGGAATGCCGGGTGTGAGAAGCGAGAGGATTATGGAGAAGACTGTAAAAAGGATTTGTGGGGTAGGAACCGCGGCCGGAAGAAGGTATATAGTGACGAGTTGGACTGATGGCATAACAACAGTTGGTCAGTAATGTATGGAGGATTTGAGGTGTTACTGACGCTACCAGCAACCAGAGAGCACAGCTACAAGCAGGGACAGCAAATTCGTTTATGCTGAAAGAAGCATGCCGGAATAGGGTCTTGAGGTGTCTCATATCAGGGGGAGCAAAAAAAAAATCATGCAGCATGTTGAATAAACAACGCGGAGGATGAAGCAACGAGCATGCAGCAAGGAGCATGAGCATGGAGACATGATGGACTCGGTGGTGAGAGGTGCCACGCATGCATGTATAACCCAAGCAGATGCGACATGCGTATCACACATCACATCCACATAGAGGAAAGCATCCCAACCCATCACATCACATCACAACGAATCTCAACCCATCATATTTCATCTCATCTCATCACATCGCATCCCATCCCATCCCATCTCATCGTATCACATCAATCACATCACCCATTGCATGCACCTTGCGTTGTCATCCTCACGCTCAGATACCCATGCTTCCGCCTCTCCTCCGCCACTCTACTCCCTGCTGCTGCTCCTGCTCCTCCCTTCCCTCCATCGCCCTTATCTCTCTCCTCCCCTCCCCCTCCTCGCGTCTCCCCTTCACTTGCACTCCCGCCGCCCACACCGCAGGCCTCCCTGTCGGGCGGCGTGGGTGGCAGCATGCTCCAGTCGGGCGGGGAGTACCATCGCACAAAATCCTCCAAGATGCACCCAGGGTTTGCTGCCTGCAGGGAAGGAGTGCGGGGAAAATAGAGGAAGAGAAAAAAAGACCCTTTGGCTTCCAAGGCAGGGCTGTCTGACTAAGAGAGCCCATGGATGGAGGACCCAGAAAAGCCACCGCATGCAAGCAACCGCTGCCTTGGGACTGCCAAGAACCGGACAGGGATGGCGGCTCAAAGTTTTCTGTTTAGGCACCTTTTGTTTTTTTACTAATCCGTGACCTCCAAGATAACTTTTGCTTTGGTCCGAAGCAGTAGTTTGTCTCCCTCCGGTATTTTTTCACAACCAAAAGCGGCCTCTGGATGTTAGGAGCTAGTAGAATATCAATTCAAGGCCCATAGCACGCACCTTGAAAGCCTGCATGTCTGAGAAGAGCTGATGACAGCCCGTGCCCACACTGGGGGGAGGAGGGGCGGTGGGTGCAGGGATGCATGGTGCATGAGCGGTAGCAAGGCGATGGGGGACCATGAGCTTGTATGGATATGTACATACAGGGAGCGAGGACAAGGGAGGTACGGAGGGAGGGAGGGAGACAAGGAGGGAGTGAAAAAGAAGAAGGGGATGTGCCGGAGGAAGGCAGGAGGGCGGGGGAGAGGCAAAAGTACTGTGGAGGAGGAGGGGGAGTGGGTTGAAGTGAAGGGTCACCTGCCGGTCCTCATAATGAGCTCCTCTTGCTCTCTCAGGGTGACTTCTGTCAGCAATGGCCCCTCCTGCTCGTTCACACATGCCACACATCCATGCACACATGCAGGTAAACACTCATGCACAAATGCAGGTTAGCCGCATACGTGCACATATGTACAAATCCGGGTAAACACTAATGCCCGCACGCAAAAATGCATGCACCCATACATGCACGCACCCAAAAATGACACACATTTACACCTTCCCTCGGTCTGACGACGATATCATATGTACAGAACACAATCACGGCATGCATGTGCTCAAGCACACAAGCAATCGCATGAAACCACAGCATGTGCATGGAACAAAGCCGAACCAGCGGGAACATCTTACACGGAAACACAAGCACACTCTGCCACGTACAACTGCACAAGCGCACAAGCGTACAAGTGAACAAGCGTACAGATGAACAAGCGTACAAGTGAACAAGCGTACAGATGAACAAGCGTACAAGTGAATATGCGTACTAACCTGGGTGATGGGAGCACAGAGAGGCTCCCCCGTGTCTAGAAGGTCCAGCCCCGGCACCCGACGCAGCACCCCTCTCCTCCTCACCCCTCCCACCATGCACAACCCCGCTGCTCCCCCTTCCACTTCCCTCAACCCACTCTCTCCCTCCTCGCCTCTCGCACCCCTTTCGACAGGACCCTCACTCGCTTCCCTCCCTTCACAGCCCTCAGCAACACTCTCAAACGCACTCCCACCCGCATATCCACTCTGAGAAGCCTTCCCATAAACACTCCCAGCAGGAGCAGCGCCGGAGGGGCTTCCGTGTGCGAGTTGGTGCGAGCGGCGCAGGCGGCGAGTAGTGCAGCAGTTGAGGAGGTGCAGGTGCTGGTGCAGCAGGCACGTGTGCAGGTCCGGGTCGCTGTCCTGAGGGACGCGTGGGATGAACCGCCTCGCTGCCCACCGCCGCCGCAGCTGCGGGGGGAGAGGGGCAGGGAGCGCACACGGGAGAGGGGAGAGGGGAAGAGGGAGTGGGAGAGGGGACAGGGGAGAGGGGATTGGGAGAGGGGACAGGGGAGAGGGGAGAGGGGTAGGAAGGCGAGTGGTGAGAGTGGGACAGGACAGAGGGGAAAGGGGAGAAGGGAAAGGCGGCGAGTAGTGCAGCAGTTGAGGAGGTGCAGGTGCTGGTGCAGCAGGCACGTGTGCAGGTCTGGGTCGCTGTCCTGAGGGACACGTGGGATGAACCGCCGCGCTGCCCACCGCCGCCGCAGCTGCAAGTGGGAGAGAGGGGAGGGGCGGGCGTGTCGACAGGGGAGAGGGGAGACGGGACAGGGGACAGGAGGCAAGGAACAAGGGACCGGGGAGGAAGAAGAGTGGTGAGAGTGGTGAGGAGAGTGGTGGGAGGGGAGGGCGAGAGTGGAGTGTATGGGCCGTGGACAATGCAATCGTTGCACCTGAAGGGGTCCACAAATAGCACCACTTCTCCCACCCCCTTCTCCCTCGCCTTCCTTCCCAGCAACCCATTTCACAAGGTGTCTAAGGACGTTGGGTGCCCATTTCACCCACCGCACCCAACTCCACCGCACCCAACTCCACCTCACCCAACTCCACCGCACCCACCTCCATGACGATCTGCATCCAGAATCCCGCCATTTTGGCATCCGAGGAGATCCCCGCCATGGTCTCTGCTAGCTGAGCCACAAACCCACTCGGCGGCGCGCCGTGGATCTCGTGCACAATGGACGGCTCAGATCGCCCCGTTGCGCCTGCCGGCTTGTGGCCTGTGAGGCTGCTGCTGCTGCTCATGCTGGCGTTGGTGGTTTGGCCGACCGACAGGGGCTCCAGACTCTCTGAATTCTCCCATGACTCGTCCTCTGGTTTTGCGTGAGGGTTGAGGTGAAGGGATGTGATGGGGATCGGATCGGGTGGTGATTGGATGGGGAGCGGGTGGGGAGGATGGAATTGGGAGGATGGGATGTCGATGAGGGGAGTGGTATGGGGCGAAGACCAGAATAGGGAGAAGGGTGAATTGGGATCGGGAGAGGGTGGCAAACAACAGGGCAGGCAGGACGGCACATAGACAAGAGCCATGCAAATCATGCCATTCAGCCAAAGAGCGTATAGGCACTAATACGGCTGTTCCCAATTGGGTGGACTGGACTGGACCAAGACCGACCGACACAGAGGACAGGTCACAGGAGCACAGAGGGCAAGAGCAGCACGCACCAAGGTCAAAGAGCGACCAGAGCAGTGCACTGTACTCCCCAGGGTTAAACGCCAGTGTGCGGGTGCGGCTGTGCCTGCACCTGCCACCCCCCCCACCACTCCCCCCTCCTCCTCCTCCTCCTCCCCCTCCTCCTCCTCCAGTAAAGCTAAACGTGCGGGCAAGGCTGGGAGTCCCACCACCACCAGATCCTGCACCACCACCTCCCCCTCTCCCTCCCCCTGAGCCTTCACTCCCAGCCGTCCCACTGTGTGCTCCTGTGCCGGAGCCTTTAGGAGCGAGACTGAGCGCTGCGGCGAATCCTGCTTCCACGGTCTGTAATACAAGAGATGACCACCGGTCACTGCCACTCGGCCCTGCTCCACCACCACCACCAGCACCACCACCACCACCATTAGCACCGTATTCGTCGTCTCCTCCCCCTCTGCCCCCTCCGCCCATGCCACTGCCGGCGCCACCCATGCCGGCTCCCCCTCCCCCCAGGGCCCCTCTGCCTGGCGTCCCTCGTGCCCCGCCACCGCCGCTGCTGCTGCTGTTGCTGCGTGGTTCTGGCGAGTCGTCACTGCTGCCCTCACATGCCATGTCCTCCACTGTTGCAAACGCACGCGCCATGCTGTCGAGGGAGGGAGGAAGTGGGGGGGGGGGGCGGCGGATGGGGTGGGTTTGAGGCGCCTCAGAATTGCTGCGTGCCTCGGGCGAGTCTTCACTGCTGCCCTCACATGCCATGTCCTAAACCGTTGCACCCATGCGCTGCCAGAAGGAAAGGCAGGAGGAGGGGGTGGAGGGGGGGAGTGTAACCGATGGGGAGTTCAAGCACAAACAGGTTACTTGACCTTACTGGGCTGATCTTAACAGTTCATGGACAAAGAGTGAGTGAGGTGCATGAGCTACAGGTCGCGACCCATAATTCCTGCTCTCTCGGTGGAATGGACATTAACTATGCACAGTGCAGTACTACGGTGCGGTACAGTGTAGTGCAGTGCAGTGCAGTGCAGTATAGTAGAGAGTGCAGCGTAGACTGCAGTGCTGCAAAGTGTGCGGAGTGCAAAGCGACAGAGAGCAGCAGAGCAGAGCATACTTGAGAGCCTGGGCGAGGCGCCGAATGGTGACAGAGGAGGGCACGGAGATGGGCAGGAAAGCGTCCTCCACGTCCCCATCGTCCACGGACTCCTCCCGCGCTAGCTGTCAAGGGCATGGCGGGCATGAGGGGGGGGGTTGTGAGGAGGCATGGGGCGCATAGGGGATTGTGAGGAGGTATGGGAAACTTTTTCAGTCGACTCAAAAAGGAGATGGGCTGGGAAGCGTCCTCCACGTCCCCATCATCCATTGACTCCTCCCGTGCTAGCTGTTGGGGGCATGGCGGGCATGGGGGATTGTGGGGAGGTATGGGGCGCATGGGGGATAGTGAGGAGGTATGGGCCGCATGGGGGATAGTGAGGAGGTATGGGCCGCATGGGGGATTGTGAGGAGGTATGGGTAGCTTTTTAGGTCGACTGAAAAGGAGATGGGCAGGAAAGCGTTCTCCACGTCCCCATTGTCCATTGACTCCTCCCGCGCTAGCTGTTGGGGGGGATGGTGGTGGGCATGGGGAATTTTGGGGAGGACATGGGGCGCACGGAGGCATGAGCGGTGCATGCAAGCGCATGTGTTTCGAGAAGGTGTGGCAAAATATGCGCGAACAGGTAGAACAGATACATGCTCCAACATACGCACACAGACACAGACACACACACACACACACACACACACACACACACACACACACACACACACATGCACACATACATGTACACACACGCGCGCGCGCACGCACGCACATGCACACATACATGTACACGCACATGAACTAATGCACGCGTACACACATGCACTTATATGCACGTGCGCGCGTGCGCCGCACATGCCCACACATGCAATACGCAGCTATACCTGTCCTGATTCCTCACAAACCCTTCCCATTCTCCCTCTAACCTTATCCCAGCACTTTCTTCTTTCCCATTGCAGCAGTCTACTATACCACCAACAGCACATGCTGCTCTTTTCGCTCCAATCCAACTATCACCTCAACACTGCTACTCCAGTCCAGCTCCTAGGTCCGTTGAATAAATACTCCCACCAGCCCCACTTTTAAGGCGCCTCAAAAGTCTTTTCTCTCCAACCTGGCTATCACCTCAACACTGCTACACCAGCTCCTAGGCCCGTTACATATATACTCCCACCAGCACCACGCCACAACTATTACCCCCTAGCAGCTATGCCCTCCCTCCCCTCCCCTCCACCCACCCACCGAGCATCGCATGTCCGCTCCTTGTCGCTCCTTCCCCTGCCCACAGGTGACATCTGAATCAACTCAAAGTCGCAAACCCTACCCCCCAGAAGCAAGCTAAGCCCTCCCTCCCCTCCCCACATCCCCTCCTCCCCACATCCCCTCCCCACGCCCCACCCACCGAGCGTCGCATGGCCCGCTCCTTGTCGCTCCTTCCCCTGCCCACAGGCGGTCGTTGCTTGCCCGGCGACAAAGGCCTCCCGGCTGGAGGGGATGCCCATGGCTGATTCCCACTAAACGACATTGAACGCCGCCCACTCCCAGTGCGCGGCAACCCAGACTCCCCCCCACCGCCTTCTCCTCCTCCTGCTCCTCCGCCTCCCGCTACTGCTGTGGCGCCAGCAGCAGCATTGTCCCGGGCGATCTGTGCTGATTGGTGTGTGCCCAAGCTGCCACCAGATTTCAGCGAGGCAGTGGAAGAAATCAGGTGTTCCTTACCTCCACTGCCACCACCACTGCTTGTACCACCACCGTCACCACCACCACCAGTAACACTACTAGTTCTGCCACTGGTACCACGTATGTCTGCTGGGGTTAATAATTCTCGACTCATGTCTGGGGTCATGCCGGTAGTAGCAGCAGCAGCAGCAGCAGCAGCACCACCACCAGCATTGGTCATGGTAGAGAACGATGAAATGAGTGACTTGGTCGATGGGGCACTCGCATTGATCCCCCTCTGCTGCTGCTGCTGCTGCTGCTGCTGCTGGCTCTCCGACACGGCCTGCTGCGGCTGCTCCGGGTGCGGGTGCAGCAGGGGCTGCGTGAGCACCTGGTGCTTGACGGCCTTGACAGCCACGAAGTAGCGCCGCCAGAACTCCTGCTCCTTCATCACCCGCGGCACAAACCGCAACCGCAGCTGCCTTAGCTCCTCGTCCACCTGCCGTACAGCGGATGGGAAGGAGTGATGAAGGGTGCAAGGAGGAGGGACGGAGGGGAACGGGAGGTGTTGGGGGGGAGGGTTGGAAGCTTGAAAATGAGGATGACGGAAGGGGAGGGGAGGGGTTGGGGGAAGGGAAAGGGGGTGGCGGAGGGGGTAGTTGTCACGACAGCAGCACGGAAGGACGCACAAGGAGAGGCAGAGAGCGGGGACAGAGGGAGAGCAACCGGGAGGAGGGAATGTAGTAGAGAGAAGGACGGACGGACCTGCAGCACAGACGCAGCCATGAGGGTGGCTTGGCGCATGTCAATGAGCAGTGATGGGTCCAACTCGCCGTATAGGAACTCCTCTGGCCTCTGCACGGGGTTACATGAGTGGAGTAGTGGAGTAGAGTACAGAGCCCATTGAAACCAGCGATTGTATCCAGAATGCGGAAGTGCTATGGCAACTGCCGGAATCTCCAGAGTGTGTTCCGAGAGGGGTGAATAGGGCGAAGGGGAGAGCGGTTGAGAGGAGGAGCACGGGGGGGTAGAGAGACAATACGCATGCAGAGGCGACAGAGAGCGGTACACACCTGTGAGAGGGCGAGTATGCGCCTCTTGAGCTCCTCCTCGTATGGCTTCTCATGCGCTGACTTCATGATCCATGGCAGGTGCTCCTCTGCCGCCCCACCACATGCACAACACCACATGCATGCATGCAAGCGGGGCAGGACACACAAGAGATGAGACTAAGGCACTGACAAGCCATCTCGTAACAGAGGGAGAAAAGACATAGCACTTTCCAGTAAGGAAATGAAAACATGGCAAAAAATAAGACGAAGAAAGACAATCTCTTGCACCCCATTACGGAAGCCAATTGCGCTCCATCCAACCTTGAGCCCATTGCAAAGTAAACGTACGGGAGAAGGCAGGCGCGACGAGGCCGGGCGAGTGGGAGTACGGGGAAGAGGCTCTGGCGGGTGCTGCTGTGGACCCGCGCGGATTGGAGGCGGGCGACTGCGCGGCAGAGTGGTCTTCGCCCATGCGCGAGGCTGCTGCGCGTAACACTGCGCGCGGTAAGGGCACCACGGGCGGACAAGTTTGCGGGATAGGGTGTGGTAACCGGGGGGTTGGGGGGGACAACAATGGCTTCAGAAGGACTTTAGGGAAAGCATGAATAACTTTATGGAAAGCAATAAATGACTTTGAGGGAACGGATTGTAACTCCTGAGGACTCTGAGGAAAGGAATTGTAGCTACTGAGAACTTTGGCAAAAAGGAAAGGAAAAGCGTGCATGGTTTCATTGCAGGAAACGACGGGACCGGACGGGAAAGGGACAGCAGGGCGTCGCGAGCACCTGATTTCGTCGCTCGGGCCACGAATTCCATGGCGACCGCGTCTCAATGTAAGGGGCGAGCTTGATGCTGAACAGAGAACGGTGCTGCTGCTGCTGCTTCGCCTTCGGAATGACAGGCACTCTACAAGTATGTCAAGTTCAGAGACTTCAAGCATTTAGCCGCATCAGGACATTCAGGACTAGGAGCTCGCACACGTTACAACTTCAGGGATTGCTGTGTCTACCGCGACGGTCTATGGCCACAATGAGCCCACCATGACAATAATAAAAGACAGGCAGAATACGGCGACAAGGAACTGGTATCCAATCTAAGAACGGGCTATGCTCGAGATTGCTCGACAAGCGGCCATAAAGGGGACACCATGCCATCGACGAGGAAGAAACACATGAGTAGCATATGACGATACTGCTTTGTCAGACATGCGACATCCTCCGTTGATAGATATTTGTGGGCTGACCCTGCGTGCAGTACGGCTGAGTGCCTGGAAAATGGGATCGGACTTGGGGAATTCGTGATACAGGGAATTTTGTGCACAGAGCATACTCCAGCCTGGAAATCTGAACAGCAGCGTTGGGAACTTCTGTGTTGGTTGGATTGGTTGGAACTTGGCTAGTGGTGGTGTTTCAGTAATGAACAAGTATGCAAAGTTCCATGACTGGAAGAGACCATGTACCTCATGCTGACTCGAGATACGATACACACATGACTGGAAACGGAGTTTCTAGATCCCAAATGAGGGATCCAACCTTCCTACTACCAACTACAAACAACAGGGCAGTACATCAATAGCCAACATCAGGTATCCATGCTAGCAGAACCCTCACCAGCAATCACATGTGTCAAACGTCCGGCAGAGGCAAACGCATGCATTGACTGCCCTCCAAGATTATGCATCTGGTGGTAGTATTGCTGACTAGGCTGCTGACTGTGCTGGCTAAATTGTGCAACTGGTTGGCCACCTAGTGGCTCTGGATTGTGATACCCAGATTGAGGAGGGCCACTGAACAACCCCATGTGTCGGAGTCCCGGAGGAACGTTCTGAGCAGGGGCATTTTTCAGTGGAGAGGGAGAGGAAGACAATGGCGCAGCAGAAGGAGCAGGACCAGTGCTGCTGGTTAGATTGACGGATGCACGAGCATCTGTAGCTGGAAGCTCAACAGAAGGTTGTGCTTGTTGCACTTGATGAACAGCCTGAGACTGCTCAAATGTCGGTTGCCCAAGAGGCTGCTGCTGCTGCTGATCATGATGATGATGCTGGTGCTGTTGGTGCTGTTGGTGCTGCTGCTGTTGTTGTTGCCTTGAGTGGTGCACTTGCTGGGGATTCTGCTGACGCCGCGATCCACCCTCTGCACTTCCTCCCGCACTACTGTTTGATCCGCGAGGGCGTATATGGCAACGATCAAGCTGGGAAAGCAACGGCGCATTGCTTCCCGACAAAGTGGGAAGGACCGAGGCACCGGACGACCGTTGGGAGGTGCAAAGATTCCCCAAAGGAGGACCGTCGTCCATCCGATCCAGCTCACCCTGTGGCGCAAAGAAAATCACGAGGGGAAAAAATCAATAGGTTTGGAAAGGTGAATACGGCAACACATTTAAAAACAAAACAACAAAATCAGAACAAATAACGGAAAAGGCGCCGGAAAACTGATGAGACAGGGTTGAATGGATAGCCTACCTGAATAAAGTCCAGAATCTGCTCCTTGGAAACGAGACCTGAGTTGCTTCCCCCAGCCCCTTGATCCGATGTCAACCATTGCTGCAGACGGGACTGGAAATAACAAAACCAAACAAAACGTGAACGAACGGGGTGGAGCAAGAGAAGGGAAAGCAAGTAGACTAGTAGCGCTAAAAAGTAGAGAGGGAACTCGTAAACTTTGGACAGGAAATGAGGACGTACAAGGGCATGCCGCTCGCCGGACTGAAAGGCGACTCGTTGCTGGTTTTGCGCCTGGGAATAGAGCTGGGACAAAGAATTAGCAGCGGCGCAGAAGGACGAAAAAAGGGTTTTATCGCCGTCTTCAAGCCCTGGTGTCTCCGACTTTCTCTTCTTCGGCATGTCTCACTGATTTAGAGACCAACTATAGTCCAGCGCCTTTTATCTCCGGTTTTCCCTGTCCTGTATAACTCCCCCTCCAATAACACTATTTCCAGATCTTTCAGCCACCGTCGACCTTCTTCAACAAGCCTTCCTTGCCCTCAGAACCGTCTCAGATTTTGAATAATTGCTCCGTCAAACAGTCAAACACGTGAAGGCGTGCAAGCGGGGGTTTCGGCTGGAAACATGTGTCATCAAACTCCCTTCCCTCATGGACTCGCCTTTGGGTTGGGGGAAGGGTTTGATCGGGAATAGGGGAAGACGGGGGTGAAGGGGGCAAAGGAGGTCATCGTTTTCGGACCACCCAACACCACACCACCACATCCGACCATACCACATCACATGGGGTTTTGCTCAACAATCTGCTATACCCCTCCCGAGAACCACGGTGGTGCAGCGTGCTGCTTGCTGATTGGTCAGCTATGTGAACCCAACCATCGTTTGGTTGAATGGCATGGCATGTGCGATGTCCCCGGTGTGCGCTCGATGAATTCGCGACAGTTTTTGCTGCGAGTGGCCCCCTAGTGAGTCTGCCGTTGTGTTTTCCCGGGTTTTTTTGGCGGCTTCTGCAACTTTTCACCAAGACAAATAGCTACTTCGTTATTGTTATACCACACAAACGTAGCGATAGTTTAGCTACAGTTCTTCTGTAGGCAAGTCTTACGGCTTGTCAGTGCAAGAACCAAAACAACTTTTCATACAGAAATCCTGCTTCTTCACATATTCTGCGGTGGTATACTTTTTTCATACACCTTCCTCTGACAAATGCTTTGCTGGAAGAATCTGTACCAGCATTCAGAGTTTTAGAACTCTGATTATCAGGATACCACACTGATAAAAAGCCCTGGTTGATGTACATAGCAACAGTGTGCCTGTACGATCTTGCTGCCAATCCCCGTGGTTTTGTGGGATAAAAATGTTCCGACTCGACACATATCCTAGCATGGCATCACTCCAGTGCCATTTCACTAGTAGAGGGACCGCGCCCTTGCGGCAAGTCTCACCGCCCCCTCCCTAACAGGAGCAAGTGAACCAAGGTGGGAGTGAGCTCCTGCCTGGGACATTAAAGCCGGTGGTTTATATGAGTGCTTGCATGCCCATCTGCTGCATCTCCCTCAAGCGCCACTTGGGCTCATTGGGATCCTCTGCCATATCCTCCAATGATGCCTGCTGCATGGCCCATGCATGGAACATTGTCATGATGTTGTCCTGTTGCCACACACGCACACGCACACACACGCACATGCATGGACATGTGGTCATTCGTTAGGTGAAAAATGACAGTGATGGCATGGTGGAAGAAAAAAGGTAATCGAGCGGATGATACTGGCGAACACTTGAAGAACAGGGGAAGAGATGGGGGACGTGGAATGACGGAACTACCGTATGTACGTGGACAGACTTGTAGACTCACCTTCCCCCCTTCGTGCACCTTCCCCTGTTTGTCCATTAAGCAGTAAATCTGTTGCGATGTAAACTGCCCTCACAAAACATACAACACACAACAGGTCACATCTCATAACATGTGCACACACACACAACAGGCCCACAGGTTGCAAGAAGATTCACATGATTGCACATTAGTTGAGCATTAGGACACACATGCGAAAGAGCATGGCTATGCCAAAATAGCATGATTGAACAAGCGAGTGCGGTTTGAACATGCCAAAATAGCATGCATTGAACAAGCGAGAGATGATTTCTGGCCTGTTACTGAACAGGGCAAACCGCACATGAGCATGAAAGAGTGAAGAGGGAAGTATACGACAGAGACGGAGGGAAGATGTCGAGAGAAAATGGAAAGAGCAGGTGACGACCATATATGGGCAGTGAGACAAACAGGGAAGCACGAGGGTTTAGGCCAGAAAAGCAGGAATGGGCTCAAGTGAAGGGTTGTGAAATGGTAAGCCGGGCAAATGACTTGAGTAGACACATAAAAAGATGTTCACGATGCCACATGCGAAGTGCATGAGGAGCAGGGGGAGAAAAGGAGGAGGAGCTAGGATGGAGGAGCGAGGAGAGGCACGGGAGGATGGAAGAGAGAGGAGCAAGGAGCGAGGAGGAAGGAATGTGAGAGAAGGTGAGGAGAGTGAGAAGGAGGTAAGAGCGCGTGGGAGTGAGGGGTTTACATGGAGGATGATGACAGGGTCGTTGCCGACCAGCTTTACCTCCCGCACCTCCACTTCCGAGTGGTGCAGAATCTGCAGGGAGAGCAGTGAGGGAGAAGAGGGATACAGATTCTTGAGATGTCTCAAAACAGCTTCACCTCCATGTCTGAGTGAGGGACGAGCGGGTGCAGAATCTGCATTCGTTTGAATTGACCTCGTCCCCACGCCTCCTGCACGCACGGCCATCTCGTAAAGGCTTCAGAGAGCGAAGCGATACTGGAAATATACAACACTCACAGCCCTTGCTTCTCCTGCACACTATCCCTAACCATGGACCACCCTGTCCCAGCCCATTCCCCCACCGATCCTCTCCCTGAAAAAAATTAAGCCATTCAGTCCCTCTCCTCCTCTCTACCCGCCCCCAGAAAGCTGACCCGGTGGTGCGCGTGCAGGCCCTGTGCCAGCATGCTTCTTCAAGTCAACTAAAGAAAAATAAAAGTCGCTCTTCAGTCCCTCTACCCCTCTCTCCCCCTCTCTATCCCTTTCATCCTCACTACCCATCTCCCTCTCTCCCCTCTCTAGCCCTCTCCCCCCTGTGCATCTGACCCGGTGGTGCGCGTGCAGGCCCTGTGCGAGCATGGCAGAGCGCTCAGCCCGGCAGCGCTCCACCACCTCCTTGCGACACCGCGCCTTGAGTGCTGCTAGGTCGCCCTGGGGGTGGCACACGCACACGCATGCATGCACACAGGTGGCCACGCATGCACGCATGCAGGTGAGCAGGCGGACGAGTGGGTGGGAGGGATGGTGGATGGTACGGTGGTAGATAGGTTGGTGGGCAGGGGGATGTGCAAGAGGGGCATGTGCAAGAGCGGCATGTGCAAGAGCGGCATGTGCAAGAGCGGCATTTGCAAGAGCGGCATGTGCAAGAGCGGCATGTGCAAGAGCGGCATGGGAACAGGTTTAATTGAGTATAGGGAAGTGGAGATGGCAGAGAGGGGAGGATGGGGACGGAGGGCGAAGGGAGAGGGGGGGATGAAGGATAGGAAATTATGAGGAAGCATGAGGAGGGATGCAGAAGGAATAAGGAGGAAAAGGAAGGTGCGGGTATGTGTACTCACATGCATGTAGGCGTTTAGTACAGGCAGCACGTCCTCCTGTACCTCGTGAATGAAGTCAGGGAGAGAGAAGTCGCTGGATGCATTGAGGGGAGAGGAGTTACATTGAGGGAAGGGGTGTGCGTAGAGATGGTTGGGGTTGGTGGGGTGAGCAAGAGGAGTGAGGTCTCGTTTGGGAAGTTGCATGAGTACAGGCGGCACGTCCTCCTGTACCTCGTGAATGAAGTCCGGGAGAGGGAGGTCTCTAGATGTGTGTACAGATGTGTGGGGAGGGGTGTGCGTAGAGATGGGTGTTGGTGAGAAGCAGGGTTGGTTCGAGCCGAAAAGAGAGGGAAGGGGGAGCGTGCGGGGGAAGGGAGCAGGGATGGGGTGGGGAGGAAGGAAAGAGGAGGAAGTGGTAGGGACGGTTTTGAAGATTTTCCATCGGGATGGAAGGGGTGGTGTGAAGCTGGAAAGGCCATGTGTAGGATTCAAATGAGATGAGTGCAAGGGACTAAGCGCAGAGACGGCTGGGGAACGACATGAGACGGAGTGAAGCGGAGAGTGGAGTGGAGTGGAGCGTGAAGTAATGTGGAGTGAGTGGAGTGAAATGGAGTGAAAGAAAAGGCAGGATACCCATGACAGGCTATGTTATGGGCATGGATCCATCTAACAGCATGGCATGGCCTGGTATGGCATGTTCAATGCATGGTACGGCATGTCGATGGCATGGGAAGGCAAGGCAGGGCAGCGTACGGGTCTCTACGTCGGATCTCCTTCACTGCCATGGCTGTAGCCGTCTCCCCAAAGATGGAATCGTTCAGACTGCATGGCAACGCATAGCATGGCATGGCATGGCATGGCATGGCATGGCATGGCATGGGAGGCGAGAAAAGGAGCAGCACACAGAAGAAAGGGATTGAAAAATAAGAGAAGCAATCATCAAGGCTTTTCACGAAAAGAAGAAAGGAAACAGGTGAACACACAACAGCTCTGATGCTGCTCTCACCCTGCTCTTCCAAACCCTACATACATTTCACAGGCCCCCTCTCTTTCCCCGGTCCCCTCCCCCTCCTCCCCCCCCTTCCCCCCCCTCTCCTCCCGCCCTCTCTCCCACCTCCCATTTTCACCCCATTCCCAGGCTCCCTCGTTTCCCCGCATCCTTCCCGCACTTCTCTCCCGCCCTCCCTCGCCCCCCTCACTCTTGAATGCGGTGCACGACAGGGCTGTCACTCGTCTCCCACCGGTCCTTCATGTCATCCACCACCTGTGCTCGCGCACACACGCACAGGCACACACACGGGCGCACAGGCACACACGCACAGGCGCACACGCACAGGGGCGCACAGGCACACACGCACAGGGGCGCACAGGCACACACACAGAGGCGCACACAAGAGGTGAGGGGTGGGCAAGAGGAGGGTTAGGGGGCATGGGTCCGAGGGGAAGTGCAGCGATTGCGAGGCGATTGCGAGGTGATTGCGAGGTGATGACCAAGCCACCGGGTAAAAGAGATTCGTGGCACAAGGGGGATTGCGTGCACGTGTGTGGCGTTCGTTGATGCGACGAATCAGTTGAACGAGAGGGGGGTGGGAGTGAGGGTAGGGGAGGAGAGCAGGGGAGGGAGAGTAGGGGAGTAGGGGAAGGAGAGTAGGGGAAGGAGAGTAGGGGATGGAGTACAGAAAAGAATAGGAGAAGGACAGACGGGGGGGTTGTGAGAGAGAGAGTGAGAGTGAGAGTGAGAGTGAGAGTGAGAGTGAGAGTGAGAGTGAGAGTGAGAGTGAGAGTGAGAGTGAGAGTGAGAGTGAGAGTGGGTGGGCTGACCTCCTTGCTCTTGGTGACGATGGGGTGGTGCTGCACGCCGTACACCCGCTGCACCACCCAGTGATCCCTCACCTGATGGTGGGGAGAAGTCACCAAACAAACACATGACCATGCACATGCACATGCACGTACACATGCATCCAAGCATGCACACATACCAATGCCATAATTTAGCAGCAGCAGCAGCAGCAGCAGCAGCAGAATGTGAAGCAAGCCTGTGTAAGAAGAGACGTTGAATTCACACCCGGTCCACGTACTCATGTGGATGTCCCACAGCTCATGACACTCAAAGTAATGAGCCGTGAGAATTGTACTGTGTACATTTAGGGCAAATTTCTGGCTCGTGTCAATCTGTGTTGGTGTCAACTGAAAACTGCTGGAGGAATATTCCTCCTGGTGTCAGCTAAACCGACCAACGCGATCGCGGGATATGGCCCAACTTGCTCAACATTGACACCAGGTTGGAGCCGCGTGCGGGCGCGGCTCCACCTCGTGTCAAGCGCGTTTGTCGTCTGACACCAACCGTAGATTTGACACGAGCCCAGTATGTGCCCTTAAAGAGGCAGTGCTCATGGTGTGACATGGTGTGCAACAGTGTGCTCGCCCATCAAATCGTGAGTGTGGATAGTGCTGCGGTTACATGCATCAACAAGTCCTTTACAGTCACACAACCAGCCAGCACACAACTCAACACCCTTCCTCCTTCCCTCCCCTCTAAAGCTCCTTCACCCTTCCAGACCTCTCCTCTCCACCTCCCCTCTGCCCTCTCTTTCTCCCCTCCCCCCATATCCCATCTCCACATCACCCTCTCACTTTCTTCCCTTCCCCTTCCCCCTTCCCTCCCTACTTTTCCCCCGTGCCCCTCTCCCTCCCGCGCACCTTATTCAGCACACTCTCAATGCGCGCTTGCCACCACGGCACCTTCCTCTTCACCACCGTCAGATCCACGCGATCCGACGGCTCAAACGCCTTGGCGGCGGCCGCCATGGCCTCTGCTTCCGCCTTGCGCTTGGCGGCCAGGCGCTTGGCTGGCGGCGTGGTGAGCTCCTCGCGCACAAACAGCACCGCCTGCCCGGGGGGAGGAGGGAGGGCGGTGGGGGGAAGGGGGAGAAAAGGCTTTTGAACCCTAAACCCTCAAAAATCGCTTGGCGGGCGGCGTGGTGAGCTCCTCGCGCACAAACAGCACCGCCTGCACGGGGGAAAGGAGGGGGAGAGGGGGAGGGGGGGAGGGGTGGAGGGGAAGGGAGGAGGAGTTTTTTGAAGCGCTTTAAAAAGCGCTTGGCGGGCGGAGTGGTGAGCTCCTCGCGCACAAACAGCACCGACTGCACACAATCGGCAGATACCTGGACTTCTTAGATACGCCGATTCATGCAGGACACCCCAGAAGAGCAAGGTTTGGGGTTTTACTGAACAGGTTTACTAGTGAGGGGATTTTGCATTGAAAGGGTTTGGCGTTGGACGGGTTTATCGTTGAATGTACTTAGCATTGGGAGGGTTTATTACAGGAGGGGTTTAGCCGGGTTTAAACATTGATCAGGTTTTGCAATGTGATAAAATTGGAATCTCAGGGATCACAGGGTCGGGGCACTGCAAACCCGCATGCACACTTCTTGTTCGCCTGGCGAAGAGCGAAGGCTGGTTCGACGCTTCTTCTAATCCATGTAGACGGCAGAGCTGATTTTCCCTTTCATGTTCAACCTTGCACACCTTCCTAATCTCTCACCTTCTCCCTTTCGTCCTCCATTTCCCCAGTCACACTCACCGATCCGCAATCCCTCATCCCCTCAACAGCACTCCCGCATCCGTATTCCCCCTCCTTACCTTCTTCAAACTTTCGAAAGGACCGGATCGCGCCAGCCACGACACGCGCGAAGTCACGAACCCCACCACGCGCTTTATCGCCTGCCGAGCGCGGTCCAACGGCCACAACACCTTCGCCCGCCCATCACTGCCCTCCGCCGCCCCGTCGCTTGATTGCCCCTCAAATCCTGTTTCACCTCCCGCTTCTCCGCCTGCTCCCGCCGCTCCCCCCGCTCCCCCGGCTCCCGCAGAACCCCCTGCGCCATCCGCGCGGGCTTCAGATCCGCCAGCCGCGGACGCACCGGTACCGGCGGGCCCTGATGCCTCTTGCCGCTGGTCGCTTCCCGCCTTTCCCGCGCCCGACGACGCTTCTTGACTTGCGTTGACTGCTGCGGACCACAAGGACCGCGACTGCGATCGCGGATTCGCTAAGTGTGAGCTGACGGTGGAAAGTCGACGTAAAGGTGAATCTGCTACTTTCGACGGTCCTGATGAGATCAGAGGATCTAGATCTGGTAAACTGACAGCGCGGAGAGCGGTTGGGATCCACGTGGCACCTAGGGAGCTCCGGATCTGGGCCGATCTGGTGCCGTAGTCTTCGCTAAGAACGGTTGGTTGGTGATAGACAGAGTCCGTGCTTCCGATGCTTCCGAATCTTCTGAGACTTCTGATGCTGCTGCTGCTCGATATCAGAAGCCCGGATTCGTCTGCGGCGTAAATTCCACACCTGTTCACGTAGCCGCCTTCATGTTCCCGGTTGAGTAACGCATTGACCGCGGTGGATAGCGGACGAGGAGTGGAGTCCCCATTGTGATGACGGATCGCGTTGCTCTGAACTCGCGAGATCAACGCTGACGGTTGATACTCCCGAAGACCAGGCAGCGGATGACTCCGCCACGTGTCAACAATCGATTGGCGGAGCGAGGGCAGGAGCCGATTGCCACGTTGAGGCCACATCGACACTAGACGGAGAGAGAAGTCGGCGAGAGAAGACGGCAGCAAAAGTGCGCGTCAAACGAATAGTTGATCGCCGAACAGATCCAAGCATCGACGGGAGAAGTCCGTCAAGATGAGCCCAAGAAGCAGGCGTAGGAAGATACTGCACTACCTCATGCTTCTGCCGACGCTGACAGTTGGTCGTGTCAGCCCTGCTTTTGGGCAGTAAGGAGTGGGGTAGCGTCTCTGGTCAGCGACAGACTGGTATGTTTCACCAACTGGAAACGTGACGCCCAAGTTCCAATGGTCCCTCGGTTTCCCCAGGAAGCCCAGGAAATCCGCGACAGCTCACACATCCAGCCCCTACTTCGTACAACTGCGAGCGCGACCCGACTTTCCCAGCACCACGCGATTGTGGGCGGCCTTTTGCGACTGCTAAATGTGAGGTGTGCGAGAAAGCACTGCTCGAGAAATTGCCAGTCAACGTTGGGTGAAGGGCTTGGCGATGCTGAGTGAAAGGGCAGCAGTGACACGCAACTGATCTTCAGACTCGTAAAGAATCGCGTGCGAATACGCGATAATGCTAAAATAGGCCTCGAGCTTTAAGCTTTCAAGACATGGAGCAAATGAATCAATTAGACAATATTAGCAGAATTAAAAAAACTTCTCTAGAAAATATTCCAAAATTATGAGCTTGGTCCATCAACGGCTGCTGCGGATTGCTGCGATGCTAGAATGGGCTCGAATACACGCATGGCTGCTTCATACACAGGTCGTTTAAATTCCACCGCCTGTAAAACACAAGGAAAGTGGCAGTTATGTGGAAATACAAGCACATAGAGAGGAGAGTCAGTCTGTTGCCAAAATATACAGGACTGGCTAAGGAGGAAGATAGAGAGTGGGAGGACAAGACTGACCAGGAAAGCAAGGGGAACGAGTTTGAGGCCGACGAGGGAGAATGAGGGAGGAAGTGGTGGGGAAGGAGAGACATGACAGCCACCACCAGCCTTCCAATACCCTGCAAATCCGGGTGTAATATTTTACCCCTCAGATCCCTCCAACATTCGCCCACATGCACTTGCAAATACTCCCATCTTACTCAACCACTTGACACTCCCCATGTTCGCATCCATTTCACCTCTCCCATCCCCCTGTGTTTCCTCCCCCCTCCCCCAACCTGTTGACTCACCGCAGCCACCACGTCAGCAGGCGGCAGCCACTTGTACTCGGAAAACTCTGGCGGCTCGCCTCCCTGCCCCTCCAGATTGATCTCGCTCTCTTCCCCCACAAAGCGGAACAGGAACCTGCAATGGCATGGAATGGGATGGGATGGGAAGTGATGGCATGGCAAGGCATGGGATGGGAAAGGATGGGATGAAATGGGAGGTGGTCCAGGACAGTGCGGCAGCGATGCATGGCACACCTGCAATGCTGCCATCTGCACACAGTGAGTGACACACATACACCACACTGCACAGCTCCCCTCCCCCTTTCCACCTCCTGTTGCCTTCTGCCCCATCACTCTCTTCCTCCTCGAAACCTCTCCCGCTCTCTCGCAATCTCACACTCCCTTGCCTCCCACATGGCCACGCGTACCATTTCTGAGCCTGCCCCTTCCACTCGCGCCCCCACTGCACGGCAAGCTTCTGGCGCACAGCAGGGGGGAAGTCATAGCACAACCACTCGGGCGTCTGCCATGGGGAGGGCGCGAAGGGGGCACAGGGGGGAGCGGCGGGGGGGAGAGGGGCATGTGGGGTTGTGACTGATGAAGGGTGCATGAAGGAGAGAGAAAGGGTGGGTGGGTGTGAGGGATATGATTGTTCAAGGTGTGTGTGTTTGAGGGAGGAATAACAGGAGGAGAGAGGAGGAAAGGGCAAGGAGAGTGGGTCCAAGGTGGGATAACGGAGTGCAGTGCAGGCAGGTGGGGGAAGACGCAGAACAGCCATTGCTTCCCAAACCATGAAAGGTCGGAATCAGCAAGTTTTCACACGCTGCTGCCGTTCCCTCTATTAGATGGCTACAACCCCATCCCGTCCTCTCACTCTCTCACTCCATTGCTCCCCCTCTTTCTCCCTCCTCCCCTTGTCCCTCGCCCAACCCTTCTCATTTTCCCTCCCCCTTCACCGTCGCCGTTCCCTCCCCACCCCGTCCCCGTTCCCTTCCCCTCCCCCTTCCCCCACCTCCGCGAGCAGCAGGGCGGACGAGATGCCTGTCTCCTCGCGCAGCTCGCGCAGGGCGGCGCTGCGGATGTCCTCCCCCGCATCAATGCCGCCCTGCGCGGACGTACGCGCGCGGAGGCGGCGTTGGAGGGAGGGAGAGAGGGGGGAAACGGGAGGGGATGGGGAGAAGGAAGAGGTTGTGGGAAGAGTAAGGGGAAGGGAGAGGAAGGGGGGAAGCGGAGGGTGTTGGAGGGAAAGCATGCGCTGCAGCAGGAGTCATCTTACACTTGAAGGGGGTCAGCGAAGCACCCGAAACTCTCAACCCAGCCTGCGGTCTACGTGACGCCGTAACTGACGCCGCAATTGACGCCGTCAGTCACGCCGTCAGTGACGCAAGGCGGGCGATGGAGCGTACCTGCGGCATTTGCCACGCGCCCGGCATGTCCAGACGCGACGCCACGAACACCTCGTTCGCCGCGTTCACCACGCACACCCCCACGTTCGCGCGATACCCCTCCGGCGGAGCCCCCGCGCTCCCCCCACTCCCTCCGCCGCCGGCAGCGGGCGGGACGCTACTCGCGTCGCCGGCCGATGACGCCATTGCGACCACTGCGGCGCGACGGGTAGAGCCTCGCGGCGCGTTGATCAGCGAAGGGGTGCGGAATACGCGGAGCGACGCGGATGTGGCGACTGGGCACGCAGCGCTGGTGGCGGAGGCGCGGGAGAGCGCGAGCGGGGCTGCGACGAGCGCTGGTGCGCAGGCGGAACGGGACGCGGAGGTCGGAGCAGGCGCGACGGACGAGGGAAATGAGGAGCAGTGACGGCGCGGCGAGCCGTGTGCGTGTGCGTGCGCGTGTGTGTGACGGCGAAAGGCGGCGAGCGCGGCAGTGACTATGGCGGGGGTGGAAGCAGCAGATGCTGTGGCGACGACAGAGGCGGCCATGAATAAATTGGGGTGAGGACCGAGAAGGGGAATTTGGCCGACCCTTTTCTGAAGGCGTGAAGGAATTGAAATGGGCGCCACGCCAGCAACACGAGAGCAGAGAGGAAGGGGTTGGGGTTCGGGGAGAAAAGGTGCAGACAGACAATATCGAGGTGAAGCTGATCTTTGCAGTTTGGTGATATCGAGGTGGAGGTCCGCGGAGATGGATTAACGAACACAGTAACGGATTATTTCAACAATGAGGATCGCAGAAGCGTTGAAGGCGCATTCGCTTTGCGCGTATCTTTTTCCCAGGCTGCCAGGCCTTCACAGCAAGCAAATCAATGGTGGAGGCTCAGGCAAATAGGATTCCGGTCACGTAGTTCAACTCGAAATTGGACAGACCAAACGAACGCGGTCACCGGGGAACGTCTGTGAGGAATGCACCCTCGAGTCTCATAACGAATTCCGATGGAACTACAGGATTTCTGGGCAACTCACCAATGAAATGCCCTACCGCTTCTCACTCCAGCGCGAATTTCCATATCTGTGCCCTCACTGAGGGCAGTTCCCCATTGCGTGCGCTTGACTGCGTCGCGTTGCGACCACGCGTCACTCGCACCATCGCGCTGTGCTATCCGCGTGTTTACTCCACACTCTCGCCGTCACCGCTATCCTTGTCCTTTCTAATATATCGAAAGGCCTCCGACTCTCGCTCTCCCACATTCCCGCCTCTCTTTCTCCCCGCGCTCTCCCCCTTCCCCCGCGCGCCAAGACATCCTCCCCTCGCCGCGATTACCACCCGCCAGCCGCCAGCGCGCGCAGCAAACCCCGCGCGAAGCACCGCGTAACCGTTGAAAACCGTCCAACAGCTCTCTTCAGAACCGGCTGTAGCGAGCGCGCGGCGGGCGGCGTTACACGGTGTAACAACAACGATTATGGCAATGTGGCGACAGAAGACCATCTCTCTGCCCGCTTTCAACCGCGGCTGCCACCTCGTCACTCCGCACGTACCCTCGCCCGCTGCCCTTCCTCCCTCCCTCCCTGCGTGCTTGCCGCCGCTCGTCTTGTCTCGTCTCGCCTCGGCTCGTTTATCTTCCAGTCCCGCACCCCCTCGCTCTATCCTCTCTGCCTCTCTGCCTCTCTGCCTCTCGTATCCGCCTTGGCTTCTACTCATCCATCTGCCCGGCCGATCCTTGTGCCACTCATTACCTCCCGTTCCCCTTCCTCCCCTCAAAGGCTGTCCTCTGCTGATCGGTATGCTCTCTGTGCTCTGCTCTCTGTGCTCTGCTCTCTGTGCTCTGTGCTCTGCTCTCTGTGCTCTGCTCTCTGTGCTCTGCTCTCTGTGCTCTGCTCTCTGTGCTCTGCTCTCTGTGCTCTGCTCTCTGTGCTCTGCTCTCTGTGCTCTGCCCTCTGTGCTCTGCGTTCTGTGCTGCTGTGTGCGCTGCGCTCTCTGCTGCGTGCATCAGGTGGTGAAGCAAGTGGAGGGCGACCTTGCAGCCTTCAAGTGCGGCCTGGCGCACATCTTCAGTGAGTGCCCTTCAGGTGCCCCGACCCGCCCTGCCCACACAAAAACACCCCGCCCGACTGGCGGCTTCGATTTTGCAAAATGGGGGGCCGGAGGGGGATGGGGGATGAGGGTGGGAGATGCTAGCGTGGGTGCGCATCTGTGTGTGTGTGTGCTTGCTTACACACAAGCATAGCAATGCGCTACGTGTGTAAGCTGCGGTGGAACACTAGTGTGTGTGCATTCTTTCTCGCACCCCCTCTCTCACGCACACACGCGTGGACGCAAGGCAAAGGCACAAGCACATTCACAGGCACAGGGCCAGCCTAGTTAGCAAGACTTTCATTCAACCAAGCGGAATTTCAATAACAATTATGGCTTAGTCAACCACACTCGCATCCCCTTTTCTGTCCCCGCTCCTCCTCTATCTCCCTCTGCTTCCTCTCCCCTTCCCTCTTTCGTGTCTAACCCTGTTGTCCCGGTTTCCCTAGATCTGTCCCTCCTGCTTTCCACGCATTCTGTCCTGCCCTTTCGCCCCGGCCGGCCCCCTTACCCCTTCCCCCCTTACCCCCGTACCCATGTAATCCCTGACCCCCATAGACCCAGCCCCAGGCCCCCTTGCCCCTTTGCCAAATCACCTCCATACCCCTTTACCCCTTTGTCCCCTTACCCCGCCCTCCCGTGCCTCCACACCCCCGTGCCGCTGTGCTCCCTTGCCACACATGCTGCGGTGCTACGGTGCTGCGGTGCTGCGCGGGGCTGCATGGGAGCAGTACAGCACACGAGTGCGTCGCTGACCATCAACGAGAACTGTGACAGGGACGTGCGCCACGACATGGAGACCTACCTCTCCTCGCACGTCCCTGAGGTCGCCCTCTCGCTCCTCTGCTCCCCCTCCCTCACTCCTCCCTCGTTCCCTCCCCCATTTCCTCCCTCACTCCCTCCCTCGCCCTCCCTAATTTCCTCCCTCACTCCCCCCTCACTCCCTCCCTCATCTCCTCCCTCACTCCCTCATTTCCTCCCTCTCTCCCTCCCTCACTCCCCCCCTCATTCTCTCCCTCCCTCCCTCCTTGCCTCCCTCACGCACCCAACCATCATCATTGCCTGCATGTGATTTTTCTCGCCCAACCTAGGACCGCTTGCAATGCATCCACCCCTGCACTCCTCACTCCATCTCATTCCGCGCAGCGTGCATCTCGCTCGCGCTCCTCACTTCCTTTGAACAACTCCCTCTCCTGCTCTCCCTCCACTTTCTCTCTCTCCCCACCGCATCTCTCCTCGCTCCCATCTCTCTCGTGCTCATGTCGTGCAGGGGCCCAAGGCTCCCTGGCGTCACACGGATGAAGGTCAGTCAGTCAGTCAGCCCTGCACTCCACTCCCACACCTCTCAGCGAGAGCGCAACCCTACTGTGTGCCTGCCCTGCACTGCACCTCGCTGTCCCCTACTGCTTCCTCTCAACCGCACGCATGTCTTTTCAACCCACGCCATCTGCTTTCTCGCAATCACACAATGCCGTCTGCCATCAACATCATTGCGCACACATGTGAAAGAGCGGCCATTGTGAATTATTGGCGCGCTCCTTACGAGCACTTGCCAAAGGAGCACCCGTGCCGCAGCAGGGGCATTTAAAGGAGCACACCACTGGAGGAGCAGAACAGCAAACGGAATTCTCCCAACTATTCAACCCTCCGGCTCGTCCCCACATCTTCCACATCTCCTCCCATCTCTACGCCTTTCCGTCCCAACCCTCCCTCCCTCGTGCCACTCCTATCTGTCCCATTCCTATTCCCTTTGTCATGCTGCTGCGATCATCGCACAGGCTATGACGACATGCCAGCACACGTCAAGGCGTCGCTCTTTGGCAGCTCTGTCACGTGAGTGCCCACCATATCTCTCTCTTCCCCCCCCCCCCTGGGCTCCCTATTTCTGCCTCTTTACACTTCCTCGTTATGCTTGTTTATTCGTTGATCTCTTGTCATGCCTGTTCTGTTGATGCACTCCCTCCTTGCCCACGCCCTCCCTGCCTTGCCCTCTGCTCTCGCCTTGCCCTCCCCACCCCAGCATTCCCATCACGGATGGTCGGTTGAACCTGGGCACATGGCAGGGCATCTGGCTGTGCGAGCACAGGGACCATGGAGGCTCGCGCCGCCTCGTTGTCACTCTCTCTGGCTCCTCCACGTGATTCTCCCGCCTGCCTGCCTGCCTGCGGTACCTATTTCTCTGCCTTCCTACCTGTGTTGCGCTTGCACTAGTTGCAACATTCTGCATCAATGGGCAGTCTGTGTCTGGCTATCAACATTTGTTTCGTGGAAACTGTTGTATGGCTATCAACATTTGTATGGTATGTCGTGACAACTGTTTTACCAGCACGAGATGGGTTCTCAGCGAGCCTCACTCAAGAGTGCAGATCAGTGGTTTGCTTGCTCTTTCATACATATTACGGTACCGTAATTTACACCAGTAGAGTCTGCGTTGTCAGAGGTCCACTGGTGATCCTCGATTGATCCTAGGGAAGGGTTACAGGCACGTTGGCCTGGGGGGTTATGGGCGCACTCACCCGCTATATAAAAAAGCCCTTTTATCCCAGTGGTTAGTGACTGGGATTCTGACATGGTATCAGAGCGAAGGTCTCGGGTTCGAATCCCGGTGTGTGCACCTCGGGCATCCCAGTGCGAGGGGGTGTCAGAGGTCCACTGGTGATCCCCGATTGATCCTAGGGAAGGGTTACAGGCACGTTGGCCGGAGGGGGTTATGGGCGCACTTACCCGCTATATAAAAAGAACCCTTTTATCCCAGTGGTTAATGACTGGGATTCTGACATGCGTGACTGCAATGTGCCAGTGTGTTTGATGGTTACTGTGGTGTGAAGCTGCGGATTCTGTTTGCTAGGGTAAACACAGTCAACCTGACTCAGTTGAAAACACGACCGATGAATTAGTTTAGCCGCAATTCTGCGACGGATTTTCTAGACGCCGCTAAGCAGAACGTTTAGGGAGAGTCAGTGGTTTGGTTTGAGAACAGTGTGTTGTGGGCCCTTTCTGCAAGCCACAGTAGATTTTTCTGCTGAATAATTGTGACATTTTCTTTATGAGAATGACAGACTTGTTGTTTCAGCGAAACACTCAAGAAAGGAGATTAACTCACCTTGCCACATTTCGTCCCCCGTCGCCTTCATGATTCCCCTCGCCACCATTCCTTCACAATTCTGCGAGTCCAGTCGCACTCACAACACACCTTGGTCCCAAGCACTTCTAGCGCGTATCACGGGACCTCTTAATCCTTCTCCACCCGTGCCGCGTCGGACTGCTGGCCGGTCCAGCACTCACACGCAATGGCGCGTGCCGCTCCCGCCGCTCTAGCGCTTCCGGCACCCGCTTTCCATGGCGCGCGTTCCGCCGTCCATTTAGCTCCTTTGAAAACCCAATTCTGTCTCGCACCGACCGCATTCTCGTCAGTAACGCCTGGAGCAGCAGCACCAGCATCACCAGCACCACACATACGGTCGACATTTGCATTCCTCAATACACCCTCTCTCTCGCCATTCCTGTACTCCTCGTCATCCTCTTCTTCCTCCTTCCTCTCCTCTTCCGCTCGCCCATTTGCATCCAACGGCCGATCTGAACTCGCAGCCACAAGAAGCCATCGCGCCCGTCCACGCATAGGCTCGTCCGATCAAAATGCAGCGGCGGATTCGGCAGCGCGTGGGGGCGCGGCGAGAGGGCTATTCGGGGGGCTGTTCGGCGGCGGGAAGGAGAAGAAGCGCAAGGAGGAGTCCATGGCTGTGCACGCCGATGTTCCGGTTCCCTTCAGCGCTGATCTCCTAGCGGGAACCTTTCTAGAAGGTGAGCCTTCCTGTTGGCTGCTGTAGCTCGTTACTTCTTCTCGCGCGTTCCTCTCTCTCCCAAACCTCCTCCTTTCCGTCCGTTTTTGCTGCTGATTGCTCTCTTCAATGCCGACCTCCCTTCCCCCTCGGCTTCCTCTCTCCCTTGTTCCTCATATCGGGTCGGGACGGGACCCCCACGCACCCACCAGGTCGCGAGCTCGCGTGCTGCTACCGCGCGACGCAGGACGGCTTCTCCGCGTCCGCCTTCCACGCGCGCTGCGACTTCAAGGGCCCCGTCGTCGTCGTCGCGCTCGCGCCCTCCCCTTCCCCGTCCGCCTCCTCCTCCGCGCCCCTTGGATCGTGGCTGCGCTTCGGCGCGTTCAACCCGGACGGCTACCGCAGCACAGACGACTATTTCGACTCCTTCGACGCGTTTCTCTTCTACTGGCCCGACCCGCCCGCGTCGCCACCCTTCGCACCCGTCTCCACCGCAGAAACCGACGATACCAACGCACCCGCCTCGTCCTCTCCTTTGAGGTGCACGTGGGGGCAAGGCGAGTGGGGCATGCCGGAGCTTCTACGCAAAGTAGGAGGCAGCGGCGCGGCGGTATTCGACTACGCGCGTGGCGGCCCGCAGTTTGGCGCGGACGGGCTGTTGATCGGCCCGCCACTCACTCCAGTCATGGGTGGTCTTGCTGGCCCGGACTCAAACTCAGGCGTGGGGGATTTGCGCACGGCGCGGTCGCGGCTCGGGCTGTCATATGAGAAGCGGCGCGACGGGGAGGACTCGGTGTTTGGGGAGGGGAGGGAGGTGAAGGTGGCGGAGGTGCTGGTGTTCTTTAGCCCGGACATTGCCCGCTTGTATTGATTCCGATGGACGCTTGCATTGCGTGGTGAAGATTGTGGGTAGAGAGCGAAGAGAGACAGCTTTTGAGGCGCCTCGAAAGTTAGGAGGGAGGTGAAGGTGGTGGAGATGCTTGTGTACTTCAGCCCGAACGCTGCTCGCCTGTATTGATGATTTTGATTCTGACTGACGGTTAAATGTTGACGGAACGGTGGTGATGGGTCAGCAAAGTGGTGTTTGGCAGTGGGAGAGAGGTGAAGGTGGTGCACGTGCTCCTGTTCTTCGGCCGGGGCCCGGCACGTTGCCTGTATTGATTGATTGATTGACTCTCAAAGACGGTCAGATGGTTTTGTTGCGTGTTGAAGGAGAGGAGGTGGTGCTTGGGGGGGGATGGTGCACTGGTGGATGGGAGGGAACAGCACGCATTGCAACTCATTGCAGCTTTGCTGTTTTGGAGATTGGAGGAAAAGGATTGGAAGGAAGGGGAAGAGAGTGCTGTACGTGTTGCTGTGCTGCACTATTACTGGTAGTTACACCTGTACCATCAGCATCTGTGCTTGCAGCAGCAAACAAGCAGCCTTAGCATCCTTCATGGTACTAACCTACCTGCACCGCATGTTTCATAAACGGTTCCTCGTAGTAGCCTCATTGTAGTAGTATGCTTCGAACGAAAGGCTCCACGAAAGGCGGTTCTATCAACGTCACTAGGGTATTACTTTGCAGCAGCTAGCCATGATCTCGCCTCAGAACAAGAGACACGGGAGGGAAAGGAGCTAAGGCATGCAAGCAATGGCACAAGAGTAGTGGCAGGACACTCAGCAGTGAGTGGATCAACGACACAGAAACAATTCACTGGGCTGCCTACAGTAGTGGTATCTACAGTAATCAATCTACTGGAAATCAACTCCACTCCACTGCAACTTTCCTCCATCCGCTGACCAATTTCTGTGTGTCCATATGTCACTTGCGGAACGGGTCACTGAATTGACCCACCAAGTAGCGCCCCTCCTGCCGCATGCCAACCTTGTCTGTGTCTGTGCAGCGGCCGCCCTGCTGTTGTTGTTGCAGCAATGTTGCTGCTCCTGTTGCTGCTGTTGCTGCTGCGGTTGTAGCTGGCACTGCTGCTGCCGCTTGCTCTTCAGTTGCTTTGACTGCCTTCCTGTCCACATGTACGCACCACCACTGGCACCACCACCGGCACCACCACCGGCACCACCCCCATCACATCACTTGTACTGCTTCTCCACAACCACACCTCTATCTCCATTTCCCATGCCTTGCGCCACTACCCACGGCGGGTGCGCCAATCACTCCTTGCTCACTCCATCATTTCTCCTCCTCCCCCCCCCCCCCCCTCCCTCCTCCTCCTCCTCCTCCTCCTGCTCCTGGGGGCAAGCAAGCCACGCACCATGGCGGCGCAGCTGCATCCGCTGCACTTCCTCCGCGTTTCCACCCCACTTCCACCCCATTTCAACCCATTTCCACCCACTTCAAACACCCTGCTAGCGCGCACAACCTGCGTAAAAACACCACAACTACCAGAATCCTCGTCTCTACCTACTTATCCTTGTCCCACGTGCCATGTGCCACGTGCTATCCAGTGTGCCCCCTGTCTCGACCCTGTCTGTCAGCGGCCCGCCTCTATAGAAGAGGAGCTGTCCACCCCGGGTTGGGGCATGGGGGATGCGGGGGGAGGGGAGGTGGCGGAGAGAGAGGAGGAGCGGAAGGCAGTGCGCGGGGCCTTGGAGGAGGACGTAGATGCGGGCGAGTGGATGGGCTTTCTGCGCTCTATGATCTGCAGAGGGGTGGGGATGGGTTGGGGGAGGTTGGGGGGGGTGTGGGAGGTCGGGGTGTTGGTGAGTGGGGAGTCGATTGCTTGGGGGGTGAATAAAGAAGCGCCAAACTATAGGGCGGCGAATGCATGGGCTTATTGCACTCGATGCAATGCAATTTCAAAGAGAGGGGTTGGGGGGGAGGAGGAGGAAGCTGGCGGGTGGGGAGTCAATTATGTCGGGACAAGCACGTATGAAAGAAGAGTGAGGACGAGGCGTGTCTGACCGGACCAGGTTGAGTGGAGTGCTGGCAGACAGATATGGGGGGTAATGGGTTGTGATGCTTCAGGTCAGGCAGTAAGGAGGGAGCAGCAACGGAATTGCCAAATACAGAGGCCAGACGAGGGGAGACGAGTGGAGAAGAGGGGAGATGAAGGAACAAGAGAGTAGAGAAGGGAAGAAGAGGGGAGAAGAGGGGAGAAGAAAGAGGAGGAAACGTTTAGGGAGACTAGAGGACGGGGGATGGGGGGAGAAGAGGGAAGAAGAGGGGAGAAGAGGGGAGAAAAGGGGGGAAGGAAGGGAAAAGAGCGGTGAAGAAGAGTTTGGAAGAGGCAAGGAAGGAAGGGCAGCCGCACCTTGGGGCCGCGGTAGTGACCTTGTTGCACAACAAAGTCATCTGACGGCTGGAACTCCTCCCTCCTCCGGCCAGCACAACGGATTTTGAGACGTCTCAAAAGTTTGGAAGAGTCAAGGCAGAGAAGCGTACCTTGGGGCCGCGGTAGTGTCCTCGTTGCACAACAAAGTCATCTGACGGCTGGAACTCCTCCAGCCAGCACAACGGATTGCCCCTCTCCCCGTTCACCCCTGGCGGCAGTGAGCCTGGCAGCAGACGCCGTGGGTCGGGTTGTTGAGGAAGGAAAGGTAGCAGAGGGAGAGGAGGGAAAGGAGGGAGCGGAGGGAAAGGAGGGAAAGGAGGGAGAGGAGGGAGAGGAGGGAGAGGAGGGAAAAGAGGGAGATGAGGGAAAGGAGGGAGCGGAGTGGTTTGGCAGGTTGAGGGACAGCAAAATGGCAGCAACGAGAGGCAGACGACAGGCAAAAGGCAGGCAGGCAGCACACGCACGAGCAGCAGCAGGAGCAGCAAGAGAAGGAGCAGAGCAGGAGAAGGAGCATGAGCATGAGCAGGAGCAGGAGCAGGAGCAGGAGCAGGAGCAGGAGCAGGAGCAGGAGCAGGAGCAGGAGCAGGAGCAGGAGCAGGAGCAGGAGCAGGAGCAGGAGCAGGAGAAGCAGCAGCAGCAGCAGCAGCAGCAGCAGCAGCAGCAGCAGCAGCAGCAGCAGCAGCAGCAGCAGCAGCAGCAGCAGCAGCAGGAGAAGGATTAGGAGCAACGCACTGAGCGAGGAGAGTTCGTGGAAGTAGCTGCAGTGGCGGCCAGCGTCGGCATTGTAGGGCGGGGCGAGCACGTCCAGCACGGCGCAGGGCGTCACGGCCGTGAACGCGTGCAGGTTGCCCCCGCACGTGGGGTGCAGCACCTCCGTGGCACACGGCGCCGTCAGCACCTGGTCCTCCACTAGCTCCGCTAGCCGCACTGCCGCGTGGGAGGGTTTGAGAGAGGGGAAGGTTTGGGGGGGTTTTGAGACGTCTCAGAATCCGCACGTCTCAACTCAACACCGCACGTGGGGTGCAGCACTTCCGTGGCACATGGTGCCGTCAACACAGCTCTGCTAGCCGCACTGCACAGCGGGGAAGGGGAGGAGGATCGGGGGAGTTATGAGATGTCTCAACTCAACAACGCACACGTATGAACGAGGACCTTGGTGGCACACGGCGCTGTCAGCACCTGGTGTTCCACCAGCTCCGCTAGCTGCACTGCAGAGGGAATGGTTCGGGGGGAGGGATTGAGAGGGAGGTTGGTTGAGATGTTCGAGAACCCGCAAATGCGTGGCACACGGCGTTGTCAGCACCTGGCCGGCCCTGCACCATCTCTGCTAGCCTCACTGCAACGGGGGGTGGAAGGGAAGGGGTGGGAATGGGTTGGGGGAGTTTTGCGACGTCTCAAATGCTGCACGTGGGGTGCAGGAGTCTGTGGCACACGGCGCTGTCTGCACCTGGTCAGTCTAGTCTAGGAGCTGACTGAGCTAGATAGTGGTGATAGTGTGTTGCGGTAGGGTTGAACCGTTGAGGTGATAGTGGCGTGGCATGGGGGTGACCGTGAGGAGCAGTGGTGAAGGGTGGTTAGGCCGCATATCCAGACGAGGTGGGTGGGTGGACCTCACTAGCCGTACAACATTATCCTCAGAGAGAGCGACAGTAGCAAAGCTAGGCTTACCATCAGGTCTCGCAGAGGCGGACGTGGCAGCAGCGGCAGAAGCAGCGGAGGCGGCAGCAGCAGCAGTGGCGAGGGCGGCGGAGGAGGCGTGGTCGTCGGTGGTGGGGCGCAGCCAGTCGAAGGAGCGGATGTGCATGGAGCCGTACAGCAGCTTCGACAGCACCGTCATGCCCGGGTGGTTGTGCAGCGGAATGCGCGCCGACGCTGGCAAGCAGAATATGCCAATCTGTGCAGCGGTGCGGGGGAGAAGGGGGGGGGGGGGGGGGAAGGGAAGGGGGAAGGGAGAACGGGTGGGCCACGTGGGAAAGGGAGGAAGGAGGTGAGGTAGGTGGGTACGGGGAAGGGAGAGGTTGTGGGGAGGTAAAGACGGGGCGGAGGAGGAAGTGGGGGAGAAAGCAACTGCAATGCCGTCAATCACTCTACAGCCTTGACAAGGTCAAGATGCGCTGCTCTGCTCTGTTCATGGCTGGACCAGCAGCAATGAACTCCAATGCAAGACTAGTCCGGATAGAGGCGGCGCTGGCGCTGGCGCTGGAGCTGGCTGAGGAGTACACTACAGGGCCTTTCCTTCCTCCCACGCCTCCGTGCTGCCAGGGCCAGGGACACCTGTGCCGCACCGTGCTCTGGGAGATTGCAGGCGTTTTTCTTCCGCCATAAGGGGATTGGCAGAAGTCTGTTGGTATAATCAGAGATGCTTGCTGTGTTGACGGCTTGCCCTCACCCCACCCAACCAGAACCTTCAACCACCGATTAGCTAAGCCGGTAACCCCTAAGTTCAACGCGAACGTTACCCAAACCTTAACCAGAACGTTCATCCTTACCTCAACTCGAACATCAACCCTAACCCCAACCTAAACGGCAATCCTAAGCTCAACCCCAACTAAACCTCGAACTGGACCCTGTCCCCCACTCGACCCGCCCTGAGCCT